TCCTCTCCGTCGTGGAGGAGGAGGAGCGGGCAGGATGCGGCATCTGCGATGACAGACCCTGCAAGTTGAAAGGCAGCCAGCCGATAATGAGCAGCGTGCAACGGGGGATGTGCATGCCTGAGTGCGTACGTGTGTGTCTAGTGGCGGGTGCGGTGGTTTGCGCAGTGCGCTTACAAACCCGGCAATCTGAGTTAGGTTCCAGGCTGTGGCTCATAACGGCCACGAGTCTTCACTCAACTAGTTCTGGGCCCCTCCCAAGTTGACCCAGCCTTAAACGGGTAGTGCAGGTTGATTTAAAGATCAGCAATGAGGAGACAATGGTGACCGGGCATGGTGCTGGCCACACCACCCCATCGCCCCACGCTGCTGGTCTCGAAAGTCCCCGCTGACACCACCTGTCACACCGTCCATTGTAGGCAACATGTGGGGTCTTTGCCGTGGTGTGTGGAGAGTAGTGGCGCAGTGCTTAGCACACTGATTCTAGGCAGCTGGTTCCGTCAAAGGGAAACGGTATAATATGAACCTATCCTGGGCTTTCCTCGCTGATCTTTGGTTGAGCATCCATTGTGGTTTGTAAACAAAGCAGCCCAGGCATGATGCTCGCCTCTCTCCTTCCTCAAGAGCTGTGTGGACCTGAACAGGTGCTCACTAAACGACGCTTGTCCGTTCGACTACATTGCGTAAACAAGGTATTATTATTGTCTTTTGTGAAGAGTGGTGCTGCAGAACATCAGTGAAGTTGGCCTAATAACCTGGCCTAGACCCATTCCTTATGTTAAATCAGCGAGGCAGTGGGTGCGAATAACATCGACACATCTTTATGAACTTGGATATGGGGTCAACTTCAAATCTATGTGAGGCAATCATGGCTGGGGATGCATGCTGCTGGCCAGGGGCATCTTATCGATGCTCCATCCCCCGTACCCGATTCCATGAATTGCCAAGCTTCAGGGTCACCATTCGATTAAATAATCAATTATTTTGACGTTGTGTTGCCTGTAGAAACTCCAGTGGCTGCAAGAGCGACATGAACGTGTTTTATAAATAATACATTTTTACATGGACAATTTAATGCACTTATCATAAACATAACAATCAATTTTGATTGATAAATCGATGCATAGTTACACGTCTAGTGCTGGCCATCCAATCCCCCGCGTGTGCTTCTCCGGCCTTCATCGCGGCTCGCGAGCAGCACTTGTCCCGATGGTACACAAGGCGTATGGGGGATATTCGTCCGTGCGTTTGGGAGGAGTGAGAATGCACGAGCGTGGTGTGATGTCACAGCTATAGCTCTCCGATTCGTTTTCGGGTTGTGCCCATCATGTCGAACATGATGATGATGTCCGACGTTTCTCACATGCTGCTGGGAGCTTATCCAGGAACTCGAATTTCACTTAGCAGCGGCACCACCCGGCTGTTGGAAGCCTCCCCTCCTGAGCGGGAGATGTGGGAAAGGCCCACCGCTGACGTCTTGCGACCGACTGCCCGCCCGTGCGTGGCAGCGTTTGCCTGCAGAATTGTGCCAACTTTTGTCAAAGTGAAAAGTGGCCCCGGTGATGGAGGAGCGTTGCCAGGGGAGTGCGCGGAGGCCGGCTCGGGACGGCTTGTTTTGCTTTGCGAAACAAGCGCGCGGGGCCGAGAGGCGGAAAACTCCACGGATGCGCGCGTGATTGATAGCGGCGGGAGCGGCACACCGGGACCGGGCCTTCACTCCTCTTCTGCTGTCTCGGTGCAGATTAATTGCCGCACGGTGTGGGATGAACCGGATTACATGGGAGGGATCAATGTTACCCGGTGGGTGATGAAGGGTCCTCTCGTCCGAAGCCTGATCGCGTTACCCGTCTGTATGAGGATGAATTGCGCGGTTTAAACCAGTTTGTCGGAAAATTGCTTCTGTTTTTGGCCTTAAAGGGAGTATTCCTATTATCCCATTATATCATCACATAGGAGTGACCCTGTGAAAGTCACAACATTTCCTTGTGTACGACGAAAAAGATGTTGCCACCTTTTCCCGTAATCTATTCCCCAACGTAGGCTCATAAAAGCGCATTAGCTCGTGACTCCTACACCCGTGGTTGTGCGTCTTCAGTAGAGGAGGATATTAAAACTGGAGGCAAATGGTCTGTTAATGGTCAGCTCCGTGTAAAGTATCGACACCAATTTGGGATGTGAATGGATTGTGCTGAGGATCGGGGATTGTGTCCGTTCTAATGAAGTCATATCGGATCCACGCTCGACATCTCTGCATCTCTTACATGACACTGAACACTCATTATTTATGAGAGAGGGAGAAGAGGCATTTATCTCACTCACCCCTGCAAAAAAGTAGCACACCCATACTGAATACAAAATGCGCCTATGCCGGGGACAAATGTTTTAAACAATTGAGGTTTTGTTTTGTTTTCGACTGCTGCACTGTCTCAGAATGCAGGGGGAGGTCGAGTGGCAACAGAGACACCGTCATGCTTGGCATACAGACTATAGTGGTCATCCTATGGATGGACTTGCCCTCGCCATAGGAACGTTGAATTTCCAACCACTTGAAAGAAATGAAACTGCTCATTTTCAGCAACAAATCACTTATATATTTTTTGCAAGACTAAATATATGCAAATTTCGTGATTCTGAGTCAAGTGGATGAATCCAGACGTGAGCCACTCAAGGGCCCGCCGTGCCCCTGGGGTCAAAGCTCCTGGCCAGAGAGAGAGTCGCCCTGTGCATGTGGGGCTGCCTGAGTGACGAGCGGGCCGTGGTTCACCGGCCAGCCAGCAATTCATTTCGCAAAGTTGAATTTGTCAGTCGCTGATGCGGCACTGCCATAGCAGTTGAACGTGTGCTGCACTGCAAACGCAGCGGCCTGGGCTAGTCCCTGGCTGTGCACAGCGTCGGTGTCTCGTAGTGTCTTAAACTGCACTTGTCGGGCGTCTCCAGGGTTGACTCAAGCTAAACGTCGAGTTAGGAGCAAGCATTGATTATGGACATTAACAACTGGGAAGCCAATGGTGGCCGGGCGTGCAGCTAGCCACAAGTCTGCATTGTATGGGCCTTAATAGGTGCTCACGAATGGAACTTGCGCTACGCTCGTTAAAGCTTAAGGGCGTATTTTTGTCCATATCTATAAATTAATCTGTGTTTACATATCCATGTGTGGGAGACGTCCTGTGCCGGCTAGACCATGCGATTCTATGACTTGTCACAATTGAATAGTCATTAAATTTCTCTTCGAATTTTTACCATCTGCCTTTTATTTTTCTCCGTGCATTCTGTCACATTGTGCAGTTTTGTTTGCTCCCATTAGCCTAATTGTCACATTAGCATATTGTTTGTAAATAATGTTTTCTCACACGCTCGAATCTATGTATACATCACGAGCATGAACATCTATTATTCATAGAGTGGTCACCGGCACGCCCCGCACATGGACATTAGAACACCATTCCAATGTCCAGCACTTGGGGAGCTTGGCTAATGGGTACTCTTTTTTTGCATATGCATTCATTTAATATCCATCGAGGCATGCGGGCTGCCCTCGTGAGAGGGCGTTGGATGGAGCCCCCATCCACGTGACTTCCCCACGCATGATAAAATGTCGGCATCATGGGCGTAGACATCAATTGTAATCGGTGCATTGATGAAACAAGCAGGATACATTTCGATGGATCGATCAAAGCGTCGTGACGTGCTTACCGCCAGCCCGTACGCGAGTCCCACTGAGGATCGCGACAGATCGTCCCGTGTGGTGGCCCCGTCCGTCGGTGCTGCAGAGTGGCTGGGCAGCGGTGGGTTGAGGGTAGGAGACCGCACGCTTAAAAAGTACTTTTGGCGGCCTCCCTTCTCCTGCTCATCTCGCGGTCCCTCAAATTGCTTGCAAATCAGGACCGATGCTGCAAAGAAAATAGCTTTTGCTTTCGAAGCCTGCATTGCAATCTGTTTCATTATTACGGGACACACGAGTGGTTTGTAATCGGTCGGTGGTTTCTGTTATTCTAACGCTCATTTGCAGTTCCCTCACCCATGACGCTTCGCCCGCCGTTTGGTGTAATTGCAATATCATGCGCTCTGCTTTTCGTTTTGTCCCTGCCTTGTTTGCACTGTGAGCCATTCTGTCAATGACTTCCACTGATCACAGCTGCTTTGTGCTGCCATTGTACTCTGCTGCCGTCCATTGTGTGCCTAATGGGTGTGAGTTCGTGATTGAATAGATTTCGGACCAGATTCACACTTAATAAAAAACACGAGCTTGGCAATATGCCCCATAGTTGACAATGCGGAGACATTCACAAACACGCATATTCAGACTCTCGACATGCATCACACTTATTATGCATGCTTTGTCCTTCTACGAATATATTTTCAAGAGTGGTATGGTAAATGCAAAGCCGTATGAAGATTGGAAATTCACAAGTTCCGGAAAATAAATCTTTCCCCTTTCCAAAAAGCAACTCTGAATTTTGAGTGTGCATAACCTGACCTGGAATATTGGCAGACACATTATAACTGATGCATTGCGGCAACCACTGCCTCTCACTGCCATCTGCGAGTCGCAAAGTTGTAGATAACTGGGCGAGTGCCAGAGGGTTGTGCAACAGTGCATGCTTGGATGAGGTGAAGAGAGAAAGAGAGTAGGGATCACACTACAGCTATCATCCGTCCATTGTGGTGATCAGACGGTTGTGAGACCATGCCATTGAACAAAGACGGTCACTGCGTCGCACCCTTTCAGATGCACTTCTGCGACAGTCCAGAACGCTCTTCCGATATTATTAGGAAGCCGCTGGGGATTTGCACCTTTAAATCTGGATTGAAAACCGATTTATTTAGAGCTGCTTTTTGCGTTTAGTTTGTTGTCCTTCCCCCTTACCTGCAATAAGCACAGTTGCCTACGTACGGTGCAAAAGAAGTACAACGTACGTGCGTACTTAGGAAGCGAGTAGTCTTGCTGGTTGTATAACTCAAGAACCGCACGCACCGCCTGTCTCGTCGTGTTCCCTCGGCAGGCCGGAGTGGCGCTGGGCGTGGTGGAGGGCGGCGCGCTGTGCCGCGGGGTCGGCTCGGTGCCCACGCTGGGCCGCCGGCGCCACCGCCTCGTCACCAGCAGCTGCAGCAGCAGCAGCGAGATCTCGCTGTCCAGCACGTGCAGCGAGCTGTCGACGCACTCCTGCCCCTGGCCCGCCGAGCAGCGAGAGTCCACCGCAGGGCAGGTGGGTCGCCTTCTAGAGCCCGGGGCCGCTCAGATTGACGCGGGGCGCACGCGTGCGTGGGACACGCAGGGGCCTGCCGCCGCTTCGCTCGGCATGCAACAGGTTCGCGGATTCTGCTGCGTTGTGGGGTTTTTCGCGGTTTTGCTGGAGAGGCCTCCGATGTGTTATCGGGTCGTGAAACGTTCAGGTCGTCGCACTAAAGAAACAGGCGACGCAGACCGAAGACACACTAGAGATATTGACCGATTTTTCAGAAAGACTCTGGCTGCGGCAGCCATCAAGTCACTAAGCGGCCCCTCTCCTCCGCCGCACACCCCCCCCCCCTTCCCCCCCCCCCCCCCCCCGGTGCGAGCGTCGCTGGTTCACCTCCACCGTCGTTTTACAGAAAGTGGAGATGAGGGACGGGCGGCACGCGGACAAGGAGCAGGGGAAGGAGTCGGCGGGGAGCGAGAAGGATCGACCGTCCAGGGCGGAGGAGCAGAGGCGGAGTGGCAGCGTGGAGCTGGGGGCCCTGCCCAGCTCCCACGAGGAGGCACTCAAGCGGCAGCAGAGGAAAGAGATGAGCATCCTGCAGGCAAGGATGGAATCTTTACTTATACTGGAGGATTCGGATGAGTTATGAAGCTTTTTTTCACGGATGTCCAGTAAACGGCAACAACAACAACAAAAACAACTCGCCACATTCGTCATACAATCACAAACTGAAGAATATATGCAGTCGTCTGATGTTTCAGGGAATGTCCCTTTTTCAGAGCCAGAAGAAAGAGGTTACAGAAATGTGTTGACTGTAATTGGAGATCATATTTTACCGTGCGAGGCTTGCGTAAAACTGGGATTCTCCTGCTGACTTTCATCAGCTGACTATATATCTTCTCCGTGGGCATGATGAATGTGGCGAGATATTTATTTATTTCTGCTTCCGTGCGACTGCCAGCAGACTCCCCTGAGGACTGTTGTTTAATTGTGCAGTCGAGGGAGACGTGGGCCCACGCAGATGGTCTCTGGGCGCGCTCGGCCTGCCGAGCCGCTCTGTCAAAATTGGACGATGCCCTCAGAGTTGTCCTTCAGAGTGAAATGTTACAACGATAATTTCCAATTAATGTATGAGTGCACTGTGATACATTCTAAATTGGCTGATCATTTTTAATGGTCTCGGCTGATAATGCAACCTAAATATATTGGCCGCGGTTTTAATTAGCTCGATCGTTCGTTAGGTAGAAAGGTCAGTGGATGAGCGGAGAGTTGGCGACGCCTCCCAGCAATTGTTCCTCTGCGTTGGTCGGCACCGCTGAGAATCAGCTGCACCTCCACAAAGCCAAAGATCCCCTATATAGCCAAGCAGGCTCTGATGGGAAAGTGTTGTTCACAGCACCTGTGAAGGAAGGCACAACGTGGTTGCCTTTCTATCCCCATTGTTGAATTTTACACACTGTACCAGGTTGACATTTCACCTGAGTCGATCTAGGAGATGCCCCAAACCAATTCAGATAATCGCCACTGATGTTAGCCATGGCCGAGCATCGACCCCGGGTCTTCAGGTTCATAGTGCAGTGTGCTAACGACTACACTTCCACTCCTCTCGACAGAAAATGCAGTAGTCCACACCACCACCACTACCACCGCTGCCTCTGACTAGAGAACACTTGCCAGGGCACCACTCAACAACAAGCTAACTCGCACGCTCGCCGTCTCCCCCACAACACGCGTACCCCGCCAGGGCCTCCGGCAGCTCGTGTCCAGGGAGCCGATTCCTGCGCCGGACGATCGAAACAGCCTGCGACCAGGCGAGTGGACCACCGCCCACCGGGACCTCATGAGCTCCAACGAGGGCATCTACTCGCCCGGCTCCAAGCACAACGACTTCCCCGGCGTCGTGGCGCACGCCTCCGTGCGCCTGCGCGGCGTGCAGCCGCACCAGAAGTGCTCGTACGAGTCGGACTCTCAGGAGGAGAGCGAGGACGACGCGAGGGGCGCCAGCCTGGACCCCGTGCCCTGCAAGGAGTGGACGCTGCCCTCCTGCCTGCGCCTGCCCCACAGCCTCTCCGACGGCCTCTTCGGCCCGGGGCCCCGCGCGCCCTTCCCGAGGACGCCGCGCTGCGTGTACCAGGTGCGCGGCGTGGACGAGAGGATCGCCGGGTACCTGCCGCGCTGCCAGAGTCTGGGCAAGGCCTCGGAGAACTGGAGGTTCGGCCTGACCACCAACCGCGTGCAGGTCAGCCTGAAGGGTGGCGAGGAGCCGGCCGGCAGGCAGAACGGCGAGGGCGGCGGCGGCGGCCGCTCGACGCTGGGAGCTGCGCCCGGCGCGGCGTTCCCCAACATCTCGGTGTCGCTGGCGCAGTCCGTGCACAAGACGGTGACGGGCCAAGTGAGCTCGCTGTGCGGTCAGGTGATCTCGCTCTCCGGTCAGGTGACCACGGCCGGTGACCGCCCCAGGATGCTGCAGTTCGTGAAGCGGACGGCGGTGGCCGCGGCGGACGCGCCGGTGAAGCCTGAGGAGGAGGCACCAGGCCCAGCCGTGATTTACGTCACCAAGGACTGTTGCCCCTCGCAGCTGGGGTCCGGGGTTCAGAACCCCGGCGCACCGGCACTTCACGTCAGAGGCTCTGCCAGGCAAGAAGTTAATTACACTGAACTGGAGCCCGAGGCTGCCTCAGCCAGCAGAGCCGCGGACTACGCAGTGTTGGAGTCTCCCACGGAGGAGCAGCCGATAAGAGACTCCGATGGCAGCAGTGGAAAGGCGGCGCCGCCCGCCCCCGCTGGAAGTTCAACCACTGGAAACATGTCTCAGGTGACCTCAGGATCTACGTCGGCCTCGAGTGGTCACTCGCACAGTGCAGCGCCCACTCTGGCGATGTCTCACGGTGCTCAGCAACGCCTGATCAAGCCGCCGTACAGCGGGGGCCACAAAAGCAACGGCCTCTACTCCGCGGGGTTCGCCGCGGCCTCCTCCTCACCCAGCGGCCCCAGGGTGCCGCTGGGCCGGATGTCGGGTAAATCTCAGAGTCTGCCGCAGCAGATGAAGGTCCCTTGCAAGGCGGGGGGGGACCCCAGCAGTGGAAATCCGCCGGCGTTCAGGAGCAAAAGTCAGGAGAAGGCCGGCGGCTGCGCTCCTCACGACAAATCACCGGGCCCCTCGTCCCCCGCCAAGTTATCCAGGTTCCTCAAGATCCCCAGCGTGGGCAGCGGCTTGGGTGTGAAGTCCGACTTGGCCAACCCCACCAGGGGAAGCCCCCAGCTGCCTCGCAGCTCCCGGATCCCCTGCAAGAGCGAAGCTGCGGCCGCCACAAAGCTACCCAACGGCGGTGGCCCCGCAAGCCCGTCGCCCGAGGCCGCTCCTCCTCCGGGCAGGAAGACCGTCCCGGTGGCCACTCTCTCCAGGGCGGCCCAGCAGGCCGCGCCCACGGCGCCGTCACCGGCCGCGGCGCCGCCGTCGCCGGTGCCGGTGCTCTCCCCGGAGCACCAGGAGGAGCCCGTGCGGGACAGCGCGTCCGGCGGGGTCAAACCCTCGCACCTCGCGTCGCCTCCCGCCCCGCCCCCGCCGGGCCGCTCCGCCTCGCTGCTCATCAAGCCCAACTACGACATCCCTCCCAGCATGACGCTGCTCAGGCCCAGCTACGACTCCCAGCAGAGCCTGCTGAGGGTGCGCTGCGGCAAGGAGCAGCAGCAGGCCGCGGGCGCGGCACGCGGGGGGGCCGCCAGCCGCCTGCCCGTCGGCTCGCCGACCCACGCCTCCAAGCCGGCGGCAGTGCCCAGGGTCCCGCAGTCGCTGCACAAGTCCCAGAGCTCCGTCTCGGAAGGGGTGGGCTATTCTCAGACGTTGGCACATGTTTCATCACATCAGCAGCCCAGGCCTAACCACGGCTCCATGCAGCAGCAGCAGCAGCAGCAGAAGTTTCAGTTGCCTCAGAGTCAGAGCGAAGGGAACATGACTCAAAATCAAGCAATACTCTCACCTAAGAGGACCGTTAATAATGTCACGCAGCATACTGATGCTACCAAGAGCTGCTTGACAATGAAATCTCCGGTGCTAATCGAGTCCTACAATGCCCTGTGCAGCAGCAGCAGCAGCAATGTGCCGGAGCGGCAGAACAATTTTGTAGCAAATGTCACCACGAGCTTCACTGCTTCTGTGCGTCCAACAAATGGGTTAAATTCCCCACCCGTCAGCAGCAAAGGCGAAAGAACGTCGAACAAAAAAGAGTTGAAATTGGAACGCGCTCACGGCGACCCTCAGGAAGTAGCCGAACCTTTGACGAGTGTAACGCCGCCCTCTAAAGAGCCGGACCGAGCGAGCGATGCGGCGACGTGGGCGAGCAAGGGAGTGCCACCGTGCCCCCGAGCGTCGGACGAGGCGAACTCCCTCGCGACGCACGGGTGCGCGTCGTCCGACCTCGACGCCAAGCCCCACCCAGGAGAGGGGCCCCTCCCCTCTCCCCTCTCGTCTCCCGCCATGAGCTCCGGCGACGTGGAGTTCCGTGACGAGCTGAAGGGCCTGCGTGGCACGCCGCAGTCGCCCGGCACGGCGCGCCCCTACCCCAAGCCGGCGCTTGGCATGAGCGGCACCAAGGTGCGCAGCCAGAGCTTCAGCGCGCAGCCCGGCAGCCGCGAGAGGATGCCCGCCGCCAGCTCGGCGGGGGAGCTCAGCCCCAAGATCCGAACGCACATCATCACCAACACGGCCGAGCGCGGGATTCCACTGAGCCGCCAGTCGTCGCTCACGACCCCAGAGCCTCCGAGGGTTGCCACGCCCTCAGAACAGCAACAGCAGCAGCAGCAGGAGGAGGATCACGCTGCGACCGAGCTGCAGCTTTGCGTGCTCGTGTCCGAGCCACACGGGTTGGAATCCGCCGGCGAGAACGGGTACGACGTCTTGGAGGCGGTGACCGAGAGCGAGCTGCTCAAGCACTGCGCGCAGAACTTCCACAACGTCACCATCGTGCAGGAGGCGATCACGGCGCAACCAACGACCTTGGCCCTCGAGGCGGACGAAGAGACGGAATGCGGCGGAGTGGAGCGGAGCCATGGCAGTCCCACCAAGCTCCCGAGCCGTTTGCCAGCCAGGGCCGAGAGAGAGAAGGTATCGACGAAGCCTGACGGGCCGCGCTCGCCAACGCATTCTGAGAGGCTGGACGACTCCCTCCCAGAGGACGGCGGCCACAGAGTATCCCCTGCCAAGGTGGAAGGGGTGAGAAGTCCGGGAAAGTTGGAAGATTTCAGAGCAAGGCAGAGGGCGTCCAGTCATAGAATGGTGCCAAAATTCGATGTTGTGAGACAACCAAAGGAGGGAGATTTACACCGGCCTGTGATGAGCCCAGAGGCACACAGATCCATGAGCCCAGAGGGACACAGAGCAATGAGCCCAGAGGGACTCAGATCCATGAGCCCAGAGGCACACAGATCCATGAGCCCAGAGGCACACAGATCCATGAGCCCAGACGCACACAGAGCAATGAGCCCAGAGGCACACAGATCCATGAGCCCAGAGGGACACAGAGCAATGAGCCCAGAGGCACACAGAGCAATGAGCCCAGAGGCACACAGAGCCATGAGCCCAGAGGCACACAGAGCAATGAGTCCAGAGGCACACAGAGCCATGAGCCCAGAGGCACACAGAGCCATGAGCCCAGAGGCACACAGAGCAATGAGCCCAGAGGCACACAGAGCAATGAGCCCAGAGGAACTCAGAGGAGTGACGAAGCTGGAGGAGCAGCGGAACGCCATGAACGCGAAGCTTCTGAGAGCGAAGCTCGAGAGCCCCCGAGCGATGCCCGGAATGGAAAGTGTGCGGCTCGCTCAGAACGTGAAGACTCCCAAGATGCACGAGGACATCGATGGCTTCCATAAAGCGGAATCATCGGAAGGTCAGAACCACATCATGGCGGGTGAGGGCGAGTGCGACGGTTTTTCCATCAACGGCAAGGGGCTGATCCTCCAGGAGAGAGATGCCAGTAAGGGAACGGAGGCTCCGGGTCTGAGGCAGCTGAGGTTCGCGGGCACCAGGACGGGCCAGCAGCAGCAGCAGCTGTGTTCTCCACAATACGGAGCAAAGTCACCGACCAAGTCCAACCTCGAGGCTCAGCCGGAGTCTCCGAGGAGGCTGGTCCAAGCGCTGTCTCCTCAGGGCTCTGCCGCGGGCCCCTCCATCGAGGAGAAGGTGATGCAGGGCATTCAGGCGAACATGCTGCGCAAGGAGCAGCAGGGAGTGTCTCGCGCCGGCGTGAGCGCCACTGAGACGAAGCCCAAGTCGGGCGCGGCCTCGTCCATCGCCAGCTGGTTCGGCTTCCGCAGGCACAAGACGGCGGCGACCGCGGCGACGGTGGCGGGGACGGCGGCGGGGACGGCGACTCCGGCCAAAAAAATGGAGGCGCCCACCGGCGACGTAAAGAAGGCGGAAGTGGAGAAGCAGGAGCCGAAGAAGGGCGGAGACGGCAAGGCGGAGGTGCAGAGGAAAGAGGAGAAGAAGGAATGGGCGCCCCTGAGCCGGCGCCTCAAGCCTCGCGGCAAGCGGGTGGAGGCCAAGCAGCCGGCGGACAAGCCGGCGCCCGACGCGCAGGGGAGCCGCTCGTCGCCCGACGGCAGCGCCCGGCACGACGCGCACGGCGGCGGCGGCGTGGACGGAGCGGTGGTCACCGCCAGCAGCCCCTCCAGCGGAGAGTTCCTGCAGGAGATACTGAGCCGGTGAGTGACCGTGCGCCGCCCGCATCGTTGCCGTCTAACGGCGGGAAGCGGCAGAGCCTCGCCGGGGGTGAACGGCAAAACCGCGGCGGTGTCGTTTCTGTCTCGCGATTGTATTTGAGACTCGTACATTTCAAAACAAAATCGATTTTCCAGAACTTTAATTCGTCGGAAGGTGGCTTTGTAAATTATCATAAATTATAGGGAAATTGATGCCTCGTTGTTTATTCTGGATGAGTATCCCCTTGTGATTTTCCCTGCAGTGCCAATACCAATAACGCATTAGCCATCAGCATCTTTAGCCGCAGTATTGGCATATTTTTCTTTCCTCTTTTTCCCCTAAATAATGCTCCGTTTTACATTTTATGCACCCGCATTAATTACCTCTTGTGAGAGATTATCAGCCGTAGGTTTTATAGATTTTTTCTTCTTCCCGAGATGATATTTATTAAGGTGGCACTGAAGCCGTTAAGAGTCGGGTCCCAGCACCGCGGCGCTGCGAAGTTAAAATGCCACTGCCTTGACGCCTGATTAACCATTCATTACGTGCTTATCGGATTGCGGGAGTGCGTCTCCACGGCTCTGCTTGTAATTAACCTGGTCGCCCACCATCCGCCCAACGCAGCTGCCGTACCAAGTACTCGTGCCGCCCCCCCCCCCGCATCCCCTTCTCCTTTCTCCGTGACGCGCGCTCCCTCGTGTCGCTCCAAGCCGCCCGCCCTGCGTCCCGCTCCAAGCGAAGCTCTCTCGCCTTGTGCCAAATGCCGACCGTTGTCAAACACAGCCCAGGACCGCCACGCCGATGTAAGGGGCGCAGCGGGCGTGCGCGGTTTGTGTGGGCGAGAGCCAGCAGCGAGAGAGTTAATTATTCCCGGACAGAGCAGTGAGCGGAGGCCAGGCACTTCATTATAGTCTTTCGATCGGACGAGCGTCCGGAGGATGGAAACATTGGTTTCTCTCGCCGCCGCTGCCCCCCCCGATATGAATTGAGATCAATGTTGGGTGTTTGTTCCTCGCGTTACCCCCGAGGCCACGGGCCGTAGCACGTCGCACCCCGCGGACGACACGTGTGCCGGCGATCGTCAGACACCGCCAAGGGAACAGGGGCGCAGATGACAGCAGTCGGTTTGTGTGAGGAGGCACTTGATATGCGCGGGAGGCAGGGTTATCGCAAAGTCACGGGTTATTTATTTATTTGTCAGTTTAATCATCGTTATTATTATTAATCCAACAAGGTCACTGGTAATGTGGTATTAACCTTAGGAAAATGCTCCGCTGACCTTCAGTTGCTCTATTTTTTTTTCAATCAATTTTGCAACAAAGGCTTACTCTGAATCACTCAAACACATGAAAGGACTATGAAGCAGCAGTGTGCTCTGTTATAGAATGCATAAAATATATTTTTAAAGATTATTAGTAGCACCTGCAAACTCTCCGTGGCTTATTTGGAGAAGAAGAAGAACACGTTGCTGCATGACTGCATCTCTACTGGTTTTAGTTTGTGAATAATCCTCCCTCTCTGGCTCGACGTTTGTGCCCCCCGCATGTTCCTGCTGCTGCTTTAGGGTTGAAAAGCGAACGATGTCCCCTAATCGTGCCCCGGAGGATTCTGGGAGAAAACTCGACCCGACATTACGCCCTCCCCATCGCGCGCTACTCCCACCTGACAAGCAGCCAATGGCGTCGCCCGTGGAGTCTGACTCCTATGGATTGTCACTGGTACGGTCTAAGCACTGCAGACGAAGGCTATCTGCGTGTTAGAGCACCAAGGGTAGCTGGTCTGGCATTGTGAAAAGGCATCGTGAAGAATCTCCACGGACGTGGATTTGTTTCGGAAACTACTGATTCTCCGCCACTCGTATAATCTGTAGGGCCGTCCGTGCATCATCCTGACTCGTACCCAAGCAGTACACCAACTGCTCTGTTCGTTCTCGGGTAAGAAATTCCCACTGGCACAGCAACGTTCGCCTGCTCTCACTGCATTCCACAAACGCTCAAGGGCGTGCGTTAGATCCTGCCGTAGAGAGTGATGATTACTGAGCAGAAATTTATGCCATCCTTTGCTTCAGTATTTAGTGCACTGCACTCTTGAAATCGGTGAGACCTGAGTTTGAATGCTGGCCACGGCTAACATTATTTTACTGGGTAACCGCCTCCCCTTCACCGACTCGCATCGACCGGAACGTTGAAGTCTGTGCAAAAGCGACCCTCAGTGAGTGACACGGCATTGGAAGGCCTTCATTGTGCGATGGACGGACAAAGGCATGAGCTATAAAAACACGTGTGCGTGCCATGTAGATTGATTGAACATTATTATGCCTTTTCCTACACCTCTAAACTCGTGCAAGTAAGAATCCATCACTGTGGGCCACATGGCTTGCTGCTGAGATGAGTGCTGCTTGTAGATTACATGTAGATTATGTCGATTACATGTAGATTACGTGTCGATTACATGTAGATTATGTGTTGATTTCATGTCGATTACATGTAAATACAGCTTTGTGATGCACTGTGCTCATCAAATTCCCATCGTTATTGTTGCGCTTAATGCTCACCAATTTGGAGTCATCTTGGCTACACACCGTGCCACTTGTTCCAAAGAGGTAGCAATGAAGGGGCTCTTGAAAATTATACTTTAAAAAGACGAAACACACAATCGTCTGCTTTGTTGATGATAGTAAACTGTTTGTTTTTAAGCGCTTTTCTGTGTTTTTGGTGTGTTTTGACAGCGATGTGTGCGCTTTGGTTTCATTTGTCTGGGGAGATGCAATGTGGCCCCAGTGCTACTACCACAGCAACCAGAACCTGTCTGTGCTCTAGCGCAGACAGCCGGCGAGAGCCTTGTACTATTCAGTCAAGAATTAAACCGATTAGTTTCTAAATTATTATTATTTTAAGCCTGTGTAATCAATGTGGAGGTAAAAGAGAAAGTGTTTATCGGAGGACTGGAAATGGATCGGGGAGAAATAAATTGCCTTCTTCCTCAGCAGCGCGGGGATTGGGTTTAACTTGCAGGATGTGCGGACCGCTTGGGTCTCTACGATGTCCGTGGAGGAGCGGAATGACTTTCGTCAAAGAGTCGTGCTGCAGCTGAGCTCGGGGACATGCTGATCAGTGTCTTGAGTTTATTCATTCTCAATGTAATCCACACTTAGCAAATACTATGTAATAGAATTGTGTAGAAAGAAATCCAATTTTAGTTCCAAGGCAATTCTTGAATATTGAGCAAACATTGTAAACTTTAATTCTTATGAATATATTTTATTTGTCAGGCATAATGTCCCGTGCCACCATATGCGCACCGCGCATCAAATAAAAGCTGAGCTAAATAAACGTACGCTCATCGCAGTTTGCGATGTGCATCAGCCGCGAGCCTCAGCTGGGTACGGATGAACAATGAACGACCCGAGATGAAGGGAGATCACATTTGGTCATCGTAACAACTTCCAAGAGGGCTCCCTGCTGACCCGTGCTCCCCCCCCCCACCACCCCGTGCCACCCCCGTGTGCTGCCCTCCTGCAGGTGGGGCTGCTGAAGGGTCCGGGACGAGGCAGCGATGGGGAGCTCCTGGGCGTGTGGAGGCAGGAGCAGGAGCAGGAGGAGTCCTCTGCCCTGCAGCTGTCAGAGTGGTCACCCAAGATCCCGCGAAGACAGCCCAACCACCTCGGGGTACACGACCATCATGCGTCCCCCGCACTCTGCTTGCCTGCCTCTCTGTCTCTCTGTGTGTCTGCTCGTTTCTCTCTGTTTAGTTGCTTGTGAAAGTGAATGTGTTTTTGTTTTGTCTGTGTCTCTGTTGGCCACCTGTCTTTCTTCTTTCACGTATCTTTATTCATAAACAACAACAACAACAACCGCCGTTTGCCACTAAGTGATGGTGATGTAACCACCGGTGCTTGCGCGCGAAGCTAGGTGCACCTTCTATTCATAAACACACGCACCTCCTAGAAGCGGATATGCTCAAACACTTGGAGATGTAAACTGCTTTTGGTGGAGTCAAAGCTTTAATATAAGTCTCGCTATTTGGTTAAATACCCTTGGCCCTTGGAGCTTCGAATTCATTAAAGAGTACCTTGAGAATTATAATGTCACGGTGCGTGTAATTTAACAAGGACAAATACCGGGTTTACCTGCCCAGCAGCACGTGAGACACGAACGAGTGCATATTACGGTTCTCTTTACTTTCTCGACGTGCCACACCAGGCCAGGGTTTGATTCTATGCATACGGACGCAGCGGAACTCCCTAGCGTGGCCTGTGCACCATGCTAACTCATTTACAGGTGGGGCAGCTTCCCTGCTAGAATATTAAGTCCTCTCTATTGGCATGAAGGTGAGAGGGAGGAAGCACACTCGTCGCACCGCCGTTGCTTACGGTCAAAGCCCCGTCGTGCAACACCAAGTCGTCCCCGCGCAACCAGACCAACATCACTGTTCTGTCCACGTTTTCGCTCCGCATGCTCCGTTGCTCCCACAATTGTGGAACGGAACGTCGGACATCGTGCCGAGTGGCACGCGGCACGACCCGATAACGCCTCCGTGAAAACCTACGGAATTGTAAAATCTACATTTTGTAAGAAACCAGGCCCAAGGAACCCACGAGATTTTGTTTCTGTCGGGGAACAAAAATGTGTCAACGTATCTGTTGCAGCGTCGGAGCGGCATGCAACGGCGCGGTCTGGCAGACGTAGGGGGAACGGCATGGGGTCTAGTGGAAGCAGGGAGAGCAACGTGGGGTCTAGCGGACGCAGGTGGAGGGGCACGAGAGGAGCTGATGTGGCCATTGTGATGAGGTAGAAACGGTGGTCATGACGCCGGGAGTGACGTAGGGAGAGGGGAAGTATTGGTAAGAAGAAGTAAAAAAATCGTCTATGAAGTGTGGTCACAAAGTGCAACAAACACATATCTATCTTGCTGATTTGCTGATGCTTTGAAACTGATTTTTTTTCCACAGTCACTAAGGTGACAATGAAATAATATGCAAAGTAACGAGCGGCAAAAATACATTGTTGTGCAAAAACAACGGTGGAGTGCGTGCAAGTGGTCAGTACAACAACCACGGGGGTGTGCAATTTCAGCTTGGACTTGTCTCCAATGAGGAGGCATTCCATTACTGAAGTCATTAAACTTGGGGTGTCCAGTCGCTGGGGGGGCGCTGGGCGGGCAAGCCCGCAGGACGAAAGGACGGACAGGCAGACGGGCGGACCCGTGGGCGAGCCCGCACGCCCCAGACAGCTGTGTCCACACAGCGCCCGTCTGCTGCTCACGAGAGATAGCCGCGGAGTGTCTGGCACCAGCGTCACGCAATCACCGTGCCGTCGTTCAACGTCGGCGGACGACCGCTGGCACGCGGCAAGCTCCTTTGTGCAAAAGTTTTGTTCCGTGTCATTTATCTCGCGCACCACGGAATGGGACCATTTATTATTTGCTCGTCTAAAACATTTAGGACGTTCGGCATTTGGCAACTTGATGATCGATCGGCGATGTGTCAGCCATCGCCTTGTTGACGATGCTGCGCGTGATGTCACGTTCGCCGGCCTGTGTTGGCTTGGCGATGATCGGCTTGGATTTGATTTGTCCGCTTCAATCACTGCTTTAATGACCATCGACTCATTTGCTTCATTAACCCACGCTTTCCCTCCCTGGTCTCCCCCCCACCCGCCCCTTCCCCCCCCATGTCCTGGTTCACTCCTGCACTCACGCACGCACGCACGCCCATCCACGTTTCCTCTCTGGCCCTCTCCCTCTCTCCTCACCCTCCCTCCCTCCCTCTCCTCGTTTCTGCTCTGTCTGCGCGTGCTGTGGCTCAGCGTGTGGGCGAGGGTGGGGACGGCTCTGAAGCCACGCTCACGCTTGAGACGGCGCTTGCTGGGGAATCTGCGAGAAGTCACGCAGCAGGTAGATGCGGGGTGGGGGCACTTTGCGGTGTGTACGTGCGTGTAGGCGTGTGTGTGCGCGTACACACAAATGAGCGCTGGCTCGCGAGCACAGCTACGCACAAAACTACACGTGAGCTCAAATACAAATGCTCTTGTGTGCACGTAACTAATGGACACCTGTGTTTGCATGCACGTACAAAGACAAAGATCCCCCGTGTAACCTACGCAGACTGTTGGAGCAAGTGCTGTTCGCGAGCCCCCTTTGAAAGCCGGCATGGCCAATGCCATACCCGGCCACTTTTGTCTCCCCACTGCTAAAGTTTGCACACCGCACCCAGTACTCACTCAAGTCTGAGTTCACCTCGGATTTGCCCAGGACCGGTTAATATAATTGCGACCGTTAAAAGTCATGAGCGGGAATCGAACTCGGGTCGCAGAATTTGTAGCGCAGTGCTCTAACCACGACACTGCCGCTCGCCACCCATGCACGCACGCATGCGTCCCCGCGTGTGCGTGCGCTCGCTCGCTCCTGAAAGTTGCGTCACCCTGTTAAATCCCCAGTTGTGCTGACTCGGTGCTCTCTGTGAAGCCAGCTCGAGGTTTGTCAATCCCAACGCCAATCAGACTCATTTAAGTCTGGGGGATTGTCACTCAGACGGACACAGCCAAAGTCGCCGAGAGCCAAATTGCTCTCAATGAGCCGGATCTCATCGAAGCAACGCGGGGTTGAGCCTGGTTATGTACGTGCGCATGTTAAACTTCTTTCGCACCGCACGTGGCCGACCGTGATAAATCGGAGGTGCGGGGGAAGGACAGCGAACTAAACACTCGGATGGGTGACCAACCGGGGCGTTCCAGCTGGAGTAGCCGTTGGCGACTGCGAGGTGGCAGTGAGATGACGGTGCTGATTGTGACCCCCGCTTACGCGTGGTGAGATTTCTCTGCCTTCTCCCACGTGCATTAAAATGGAGCGATAGAGAGAGAGATTGTAGCGGGGGAGGGGTGTGCAGGGTTCAGAAGAGACAGATGGGCGAGTCGCGATGCCAGCTCCGGAAAAAGTGATGGTCATTCCGCGGCGGAGGGAAGGGACGCGGAGACAAAGCCAAGGGCGCGGGTCGCATAGCGGTCGCGTCGCGGCGCCGGGCGGTCTCGGAGCGAGCGCGGCGGCGAGTGAAGTTTTTGGGCACTTTTAGCCACTCGCACGCAATCGCCACCATCGCTGCTTCACCCGGGAGTGGCCGTGCACATTACGGGAGCGGCCGAATCCATCATGCTCTCGGCTCGCGGATCCCCATAAAGATTTAAATCTCAGATATCCGAGCCTCCCTTGACCCTCTAACCTGCGGCATCGCTAATGCTCTGGGTCCCACGTCGCCGTGCCGACGCTCTGGACCCCACGTCGTCGTGCCGACGCTGCCCCTCCCGCGCTCTCGCGGAACGCTCGGATTCGGGTTCCGTCCCCGGCTTCTACGTAATATATATGTATTTTTTCCCTTTAAAACCATCTCTTAGTTTTAGATTTCTTTTCCCCTTCTCCCCATTACTTTTCTTTGAAGGTCACATTTGTCATCGAGGACGTATTTCGGAAGCTCAACGTGCCTAACCCAGGGTGGCCGTCGGGAAAGGGGCTCGCGATGGCCAATGGCGCTACGATTAAATGCCATACGCGGCGCGTTCGCGCGCAGTCTCACTGTGCTACCGAGCCTTCCGAGAACAAGCGCCGGGCACATGATTACTCACTTTAATGGGCAAAGCAAGAAATCACCGCCACGCGCCCGGGTTATTAACGGAGCTGCACAGCGTGCATCCCGCTCTCTCGCCCGCTCGCTCGGCTTCTCGCTTTTATGTTCCCGTTAAATTTTCAGGATTGCCACCGTGAATGTATTTATTGGCGTTTAGTGCAGGAGAGAAAAGAAAAAACGATGACGTGTTGAATGTGCACAGGAGCTGGGTTTGCATCTCCCACCACAGCAGGCCAGTGGGCCCTTGATTTCCTGGTGTTCTCCCACGCAGGAGGTTGAAGCAGCAGCGTGACGCTCGCGCAGCCTGTGTGTCCAAAACGTCATCGCTTTCAGAGGCTCGTAGTGTGGAACTGGCGTCCGTACGGAACTCGTGCAGCTTGACCTCCAGGGTTTGAGCCCAGGATGGCCGCTCAGGATGATTCCAGGGCTCAGGTAGAGGGATTCATTTTCGCCAGTGGTTGTGCCTAAAGAGAACATCACACGAATCACTCAGGGCTTAGGAACTAATGGTGGACACGCAAGTTGAGCCACTCATTTATTATGGCCACGATGCATACATTGAATTGTTTGTGTATATGGTATACACCCCCCCCCCCCGCCCTGCGGTCACTCGAGGCGCAACATTCACCAGAATGTCTTAAAAGAGAAAGAGCATTGCTACCCCTAATTGTCGCAGTTAAATTGCAAGGTTGGTTAATTCTGTACATTCCCATAATTTGCACGTGTAAACGTGTGAGGTCGGGGTGGTACTAAATAATTAGTGAGTCCTACAAATTATAATTGGAAAACCTTAACGATGCTACCGACGGGGAGAAAGAGGCCACGGGTGGAGGAGATGCCGGGAGGATTTTCTGCGATGCCACGTCCCAGGGTCATTCTCCGTTCCGATGCAAAGCCCTTTTATCCGTGGAAGCTTTAGTGGCTGGCATATGCGTATCTCTGCGTCTAGATTTCAGTAGCCGTGATTGAGATATGATTGATAGCTTTTTTTATATATATCCCAAATTATTTATAATGTTAAATATTAAACAAGTATCATGTCTCTCGCGCTGAAAGCTCAGCGTGGAAGCGGATAGCCGACAGAAGATACACGCGGCGAATTTAATGGCCAGCGTGAGCTCCGCTGTGTCTGCGCAGTATTTTCAAATTCTCACGTGACAATTTATGCTTTTACATTTTTTGGGGGTTTGGTAATTTTGGTGACCCTGGTCACTGTTGCAGGAGAGACTCTGTCCTGCTCTGTTGAGTTCTCAGCCGCCGAAACAAAATAAACTTGAGCTTGAAAGTTGCTCACACTTTAGTCTCTAACGCTCCACTTAAAACACACACGCGCGCACGAGCACACTCTGCAATAACAGCCACGAGCGTGAACCCCCCTTCCCTTCACTTATTTGCATGATGTACGTCTCCTCAACGGGGATTAGGTGATTGAATTGTCCTACTGTGGAGCGCGTGTTTTTTTATCCTTGCTTTCGTGAATGGGGTAAGAAAAAGAGTGGCTAATGAATGTTACATTGAAGGGCTCTTATTCGACTCGTGCGGTGAGTGGCGGGTTTTTAATTTGGCATGAGAAACTCGCCGCGGCGGGTTTCATTTTGGCAAATTGAGTCGTGCGTTTGGGCTTTTCGCCTGGATTTTCAGAAGCGGACGCCGTTCCTTTGCGCAGCGGTGGCGTTTAATCTCCGGCTTCGCCCCACCCCCCACTGGCGCTCTCGCCACGGTGAGAATAAAAGCGTGTCCGCCGTCGCCACCATCGCCGTCTGCGGAAATTCCTTAATCCCGCGCGCGCCCGTCACGTGAAATCCCCGTCCTCATTAACAATGCATCAATTTGTTCATTTGCTTTGTCGCTTTTATGTTCGACAAAATGGGAAGGAAATGAAGAGAAATAAATGTTTTTCTACTTATCAGGTAACGCTCACTGAGCTATTAGCTTTTTTTTCAGAGGTGACCTGGCCACACGTGGTGATATCATCATCATCATCATCATCACGTGGGAATTCATAGCTAAAGCCAAATAATCTAAACGCACGTTAATTTTAAATGTGCAGGGCAAAACCGGAGGAACCCATAAAAAAATCCACATGGCCACCATAGGCAGAGAGAGAGACCACAACAGGTGCCATCAGGTTCCGAGATCAAACCGATAACCTCCTGCGTACCAGATGAGGGAGATTACATCTCCACGCTACCACCGTGGCACTTACCCCTGACACCATTAAGAGTAAAAAACACGTGCACAGTAAAAATGCATTGCTTTTGCGTCGGTGAATTTGTTCATAAAATTGGTAAACAATATTGTCCACGCAGCGGGAGCTACATTGCAAACACATATACAACTTTTAAATAGATTAAGTAACAGGTTAATAAATAAATAAAATATTGAAACGTATTTAACTGTCACGATTTGGCCAACGGGCCTTCTTCGGGAAATTCTGAGGTTTGCAGAGAGAGTGGGGTAATTATCCTCGCAAGGTCTTCTCCACCTCCGTGTACGTCCACCAAAGTCGCACGTCTTTCCAGCGGTGAGCACATCACAGCAGCGCCAGCAGCTCACCCACCGTGAGATCTGGCACGGAGCAAAAGGTGTCGCGCGGTCGGCCTCTCGAGACAGGAGCCACAACAGCAGCAGCCACGGTGGCTCAGAGATGTTAACTCCCTCGCTTGATATGCAGGAGGGCCATGGGTTCCATCCCGACCCCGACGCTTGTATATTTGGAGGTTGCATGTTCTCCCTGTGGTCGCGTGGATTTTTCTCCGGGTCCTCTGGTTTTTCCCTCCACATTTAGAAACACGCGTGGAGGGTATTTGGCTGCCGTGAATATCCACATGATGAGCTGCTTCCGTTGAGCTATCAATTTGTGATAGCCAGCTCGCTTCTGAAAAAGATATATACCGCTCAGTGGGCCTTACCTGGTCGAATACAAATTGTAAGAAAATATATTTATTTTCAGTTTCTCGTTGTGTGGAGCACGGCCGTGTTGCCAGGGTGGACCTTGAGCTTGTCCGCTTGGGTGTGAAGCCGGTTCACGGTTGTCCATGTGGTCCAATCCGCGATCACTCGCCTTGCTTGGGTGAGTGGGTGTTGTCTGACGATGGACTTACCTGGGGGTGCAATGATTCATCCACGTTTTAACATTTTCGATTGCACTCCGACAGTTAATATTCAGGGTGCCTGACTGAACTCGAATGAAGTATCCCATTGTGTAAAAAGCCACTTGTGGGGTTTTACTCGATGAGCAGGGTGTTCATACGACACTCGTGCACGTGCCCGTTGTGAACGAGGCATTTTATAGACGCGAATGTGAAAGTCTTCATGGAATTAATGATTGCTCACTGTTATCAGCTGTGCTCAATGCACCCTTTATTTCACAGGCTGCAGTGTGTTTGTAATTGTGCAGTAGTTTGTATTGGCAGCAAATTGGATTGGTGTAGCCTGTGTCAAGCGGCAGTACAACAATGCAGTTAGTTTCAGTTTGGCTTGGGAAGGCTTTTAGCCAGCTGTGGATTGATTATGGCTGCTGATGAATGCTATTTTACGATGTGTTATTTTACATACTTTCGATGTAAGGAAGCCACTGGAGTTATGCACTTTTAAATCTAGATTGAATACTCATTTTTTTAGAACTGCGTTTTTGTGTTTATTTTGTCGTCCTTCCTCTGCACCTCCAATTATCTCGGTTGGTTATGTACGGTACGAAAGAAGTGAAACACGTACATACATTTCTTCACAAAAATCTTACAAATTCATGATCGCTCCGCAAATCGAATTGTGCCGCAGTATCTCGGCAATGCATCGAGCCGTGGAACGGGTGAATTGTTACTCGCTTCAACATTCGCTCACGCGTCAGAGAGGGCCTGCCGTCGGGCACGCAGGCTTCTCCCACTCTCGGCGAATCCATTTTTTGCTGCGCCCGCACCCCGATCGCTGTGTGAACATTCCATCAAGAGCGTCACATGAGACTGCTCGTGCTGACCCCGGGCACATCAGTGGCAGTCCGAGAATCTGTGGCCACGGCACGGTGGATGATGATGACGCACTTAGTCCCAAAATTGTGCACGTCAGTCGGTTTCTGCTAAAAGCGTCCGCCTTACCATTTTCCATCTTGTTGCAGTAACCTGATACATGCTAGATGTGCTGTATGATCGCTAGTGGTGCATCAGTTAGCGCGCACATTTCTGGACAAAAATAAAGTGCAAACAGCTCTAAATGTGGGAAAATGCTTCACTCTAGTTTGTGAGCGAACGCACGCGAGATTAAGTTCAGATGACTGCATGTGAAAACTTCGGATTTTGCGAACATCTGATTGATAAGGACGGATACGTGGCGGTCGAATGCGCAACGTTGCGCCGTTCACGCGCGTGCCTGACCTCCGGTTTCCCCCCTTCCCCGTGTCTCCCCCTCAGGCTTTCACTGCCAGATGCGAACCCTAGACAGCGGCATCGGCACCTTCCCCCCACCAGACCCCTCCGGCCGAGGTGTGGGGCGCAGCTCCTCCCGCCGCGGGGCCAAGCCCGAGTCCCACAATACCCTGCAACAGCCCCACAATGCAATGCAGTTTACCCACATCACATCTCCGGCCGCCTCTCCCGGCTCCGCTCGCCGCACGCTGCCCCCGCCGCAGCAGCAGCAGCAGCCACGTGGCAGCTTTCAGCCGCCGTGCCAGCAGCCGGCCGCGCCCGTCCACGGCCAGACTGGGGCACCGGCGGGAGGTGGCGGCAGGGGAGCGGGCGTGAGCGGCGGCACCACGAAGGCCAAAACGCTGGACCGGGAGACGGCGCCGGGCGTGGGGGGCGGAGGGGGCTGCGTGGGCGACGGCGCCGACAGGATGAGTCACTCGCTGTCCGACCCAAGCATGGCCGCGCGCGCCTCGAGGGCAGCGCAGAGTCGCCTACCCAAGCCCGTCATCGCAGGTTTGTGATGGGACGGATGGACAGACAGACATTTGGACGGACGGACATGTGGATCGATAAATTAACACACAGACAGAGCGCCAGGGTGAGAAACAAGACAGACTTTCACGCAGATGAATGGACAGAATGATGGACGGATGTAATGAATGAAAGATAAATAAGTCGTGAGAAACACGGATGGAGCGATGTAAAGTAACGAGAAGGGAAGGAGGAAAGGCTAAATTTGGGAATGGTGTGGAGCGGGCAGCGTGAAAGGCAGAAAAGACAGAAAAGAGTGAAAGAGGCAACAGAAAGAGAAGTAGCTCTCGCGCAGGAGAGGGAAATGGACAGAGAAGAAGAGACATTTTATATCAAGAAATGGAGGGAAAATTTTTAGAAAAATAGAAATAGGAGAGGACAAGAGAAGGAGTGGAATCGTACCGCAAAAAAACTTCATCATAGCAAGGTTATTAAAGCAAAGACACTGACGAAAATCCATCCTCTGCAGTAGGCTCCTGCAATATACATTACAGAATGCATTACCTGTAATGCTTCCATAAAACCGTTCTTAGTACGCACAGTACATCTGTATGAATATTAAACCTAATGGAGCTCTCGTATATATTTCTGGCACCCTCCTCTCTTGAAACACTGCGGCGTTGGAGAATACAGATTGGAAACGAAGCGATTTCCAGCACGTTTGCCACGTGCTGTGGCATGGCACGTTTTAATTTAAATAACAGACATTTTCCTTGGCACCTAAGAAAATATTGCGAAATGGCAGAACACCACATAGACACCCATAGACACCCAATAAGGCAGAACACTACATGTGAATTCACGGTTGTGCTGCTGTTACAGCTCTCCCACGTGTGTCCGGGTCGTTCTGCACGTTGTCCGGCACGTCTGATGTTTTGCTCCACGTGCTGGGAGTTTCTTCTACTCACTCCCTGAACAAGCTTCCAGCACGTGGAACGAAACGTCGGACATTGTGCAAAACAACACGGGGTCCGACCCACAATGCATCTGGAGAGCCAAAAGTCTCTGCTGATTCTCACGAGTTTTCTCTCTCGCTGTCTCGCTCGCTCTCCTTGCGGACCGCACCGGCTCCCCTTCCGCCCATCATCACCGCGAAGTTCCCGTCAAGTTGCCGGCGGCGGCGGTGCTCGGCACAGAGCGAGCCGACGGCGACGACGACGACGAAGAGGAGGCGGTGGCCGCGCACCACGGGGCTCTGCTGCGTACGCGAGCGCCGGCATTGGGGGGCCGCTCCGCGCCGCTCGGCCTCAAGCGGCTGCCACTCGCCATGCCGCAGGTCCGCCCGCCCGCCCGCTCGCCTCACTCCCATAAACACTCCCCCCACGAAGCACCACGATAGCTGGTTAGCGGACATCGCCGGTGGTCATCATCGGCGGTGCGGTCGCTGTGAGTAGAACGCGTTCAGGGTCAAGGTGCAGCCCTGCATTTGCCACTGTTCGCTGCAGGGGCCTCCACTCGAGGGAGTCCAGAGAAAGAGACAGAGAGAGAGGGTCATTTGGTCTACTCTTTCACGCTAGCCAGACGTCTAGGAAGTAGCAGAAGTATGCACACTTTATCCCACTATTAGTATATGCATTTATGCTACTGCATGGACAGAGGCGCGGTGGGGGGTCGAATCAAACCGGCGACCCCCGGATCACTCGCCCAGGGTGCCAACCATTACCCCACTGCGGCACCTCGGTCCGAGTGACTGTGGCCAAACGGCATGGCCGTGCCGTCGCGTGACCGAGCTGTGTCAAGCCGGTGAAGGCCCCCTGTAATTGTTTACCTGTGTATTTGATGAGCAGCGAATTGATCTGCAGAGCGCATGCACGTGGTGATCACGTGACCTCTGCCCATGGTATGATTGGAGCTTGCTGTCCACGTTGCCTACACGGGCCAGGAGCAATCAGATCTGTTCAAGCTTGGGCAATGAAAGTGTATTTAGAGTAGAAAACGGCGCGCTAATTGTTGCCGGTGACGGCCGCCAACGATCGTTGCCATAAAACGTCTCCCGAGCATCGTGACTTTCAACGCGCCTCTCACCTCACCGGCAGCAGCTGGGAGACGTTCGATTTCAGGGGTCAGCCTTTTAGACCCGGCCTCCACTTCAGGGCCGTGCGCCGGCAGCAACGTTATCGAAACGCGAGCACCATCTGCTTATTTGCATCGCCGTGAAAGATCCCGGGACATCGGTCCCAGTTGTCGGCCAACGCGTGCCAGGGTGCCGGAAAGCCAAATGTTAAAGAATTACTCACAATTACCAAATTGCCAGATTGCCTTATACCGAGTGCCTGCCAGAAGCAGATGGTGCCGATTTGAGCTGAGAGAGCTACTCGTTGCCACAGATTCTAAGACATAACCGCGAGGCTCGTGGATAATAGTGGATTGATGTTTTTTATGGTGGCGGTCGTGGTGATGATGATGATGATCATGTTGATAACGATCATGATGATGATGGAGTATAATATGGAGTTGAACTAGCTGGTTTTGTCATTAAATATCTGCCACATGGCCACACACCATACTCTGTACCATCATCTATCCTGATAAAAGCCAAATAGGCAGTCACCTTCAACTTACCAGTCGTTGAGCAGCAGCATCAATAAATCATTCGTTTAGATGCAGGGATGCAGGTAAGGGACACGGAAACAGCGCTCCTCCTGCAAGTAAGACTCAGGGGGGGAGGTGGGGGGGGCAAGGGGGGGGGTAACAAAAAGCCTAAGACAACAATCATGATTGCCACAATTAATAATTAAAAATGTCAATTTTACAGCGATAACACGCAAAGAAAAATCTGGCCAATATCGCTACCCTGACAAAAAACGGCAGCCCACGTGACCTCTCTGCCCATTGTCGTTGATGATGGAGACAATGATCAGCATGTTATTGTAAAATATGGGATCAGATAAAACATTTGCCAATGACGAGAGAGTGAGGCCCATAATCTAAAGCAGAATAAATAAAAAAACGCGACAAAGCCACCCGCCGGAGAAATGTCTCATTGACAAGTAATTAAATATCTGGAGCACGGGCGGTCTGTTGTTGAGTGATAAATGTCTGCCGGTAGCCAATGAATAGCGGCGCTTTGGCAAGCAAACTCTTTAAGCAGTCGGTGCCCAATGAATTCTCACTCGAGTGAAGCATGAGCCACGTGTTTGTTTTTTTTATTCTCGAGTGACCACCTGCTCCATCGACACAGACGTAAGATGTTTGCTCCGTATTGACCAGCCAACACACATGTTTATAATTAACTGCAAATTTTTTTTTCATAACTTCTTGGGGCATGCTTCTTTGTCTGGTTTGGGGAACACACGCTTCCAAGTAATTCTCTCCAGATATCGATGCGCCCCTTTTAATCAGGTGAGAGTCTATTGCGATTCCAACTTCTCCGTCTCGAGGTTTTCTGAACCCATCGTGGCGAAGTGCTCTGCAGCACTCGCCCATGGAGCTGATCGCTCGTAGTTGGCACCTTGTCCGGAGAAGGGCGATTTCAGGGTCTTCAACACTTGTCAGCAGCAGACAGCACACTTTGATGACAGTAGTACTTTTACTTGTTCAATATAAACAAACTCTTAATATCCTCGTATTGTTTTTGTACTGCGTTGTTACATGTGGTCGCATGCAGATGCCATATGTATCCAAATTGTGTAACTTGGTGCTGGGGTAAAGTGTGGGTTCACGAATTATTTCTACGTGTTTACTACCGAGTCACCATGAATGCACCAGATATCATTGGATTTCAGAAGCTTAGCAGAGTTGAGCCTGGTAAACACGGAGATGGGTGACCACCGCCAGGGCTTGCCAGGTGCTGTAGGCATGGTGTGGCGAGAAAATAGCAGTGCTCTGGGTGCCACCTCGAAGTGTCTCGAGAATGGGCAGGACTTTGTCTGGCTCGCGACGCAGAGCGGGGCCTGGGGTGCATCTGCCGTCGTCGTTGTGTGCGAGTATCAGCGCGCACGCTCACTCCGTTCATCGTCACGATTCACACCGCTACGCGCACGCGCGGGGGAAGCGCGCGTGCGCGCCTCGTTCGTTCTCCAACAGCAGTTGTGTGACTAATGCAGGCCGGCGAAGGGGCGACATGCGCCTCCCGCGCGCGTGTCCGTGTCGTTTGGAGAGAACGCGGCGCTCGCGCTGCCGCGGTCGTATTCGCGTTGTTAGTCGAGCCCCGCGTGGGGAATATCCACGCGGCGTAACGGATTACGGAGCCTGCCAAGTTTCCACCTGATACGACACCGTCTTCACCCATTACGCCTCCTCCACCGAGCGTCGTCCCCATCGTTTCGTCCGATAACTCGCGTAGTAATTGCCGTGATGACGCCCCGCGTTTACGCGCCACGACAGCTAGAGCGCCCAAGGGTGAACCGGCCACGTGCACGGGGAAAACGCTCGAAGCTGCTTCGCGTAGGTCAGGGGGCGGCGCGGCACGCGACGCGGCACGCGCTGCGGGGGTTCTGCAGTTCGAATCCAGTGGCCGCCCTGGTAACTACCGCCCTGGTAACTACCGCCCTGGTAACTACCGCCCTGGTAACTACCGCAGGCGTATTCACCCGAGATAAATACGCCGCTTCCCAGTGGACGTTAAATATCCCGCAGTGACATTGGCTCAGTTGGAATACGCATAGCAATGGTCACGCCCTCCTCCCGCCAAATATACTTGGCTGAACTATCCTGAATAAAAGTCATGAGACTCTACGAAGCTTTCCTGAGTAAAACAGTGTAATGATAATAATGAAAGATAATAAATAGATTCAAGAATCCATTGCTGTACTCCCGTCTTCTGGCCACCTCACAGCCCAAGCCTCTCACACACGGATTTTCATTCATTTGAGGCTGAGTCAGCATAGGGGAGGCCCAGAACTGGTTCAGATAATGGTCACTGGTGTTGGCCGTGAGCGGGTATCGAACTCGGGTCGCCGGGTTTGTAGTGCAGCGGAGGAGGCGTAATGGGTAACCACTGCTACTTTGTACAACAACAACTGCCATTCGCTACTAAGCGGCGATTACGTCACCACGGTGCCTGTGCCAGGCTATGTGCACGTTGATACCACGTAAGGTGTCGAACGCCTGCTGGCAGGAGGTCACAGGGCAGACCCAGGTGCCATGGGTCGACTGACTAAGATGGCTGGGCGATGCACCACCTGTGCCCCCTACTGTGCCCCCTACTGTGCCAACTTGCTGTGCTTTAGCTGCTCGGTGCTCCGCCCGCTGTTGTGAGCATCGCTCACAACAACGAGCGTACAACGTACACACGCGCTCACACACACACACATTTTACGTCATTCAGATGCACAGCAATCGAAGATGCTAATTAAAATTAACAAGGCCACACATCTCGACTGGCACTGCGTGGCTTAAACAATTATCTGCTTTAATCCCTCCCTCCTGATCTGGCACTTAACCTTCGACCTTTCTCCCCCACCTCCAACCCTCGACCGCCGGCTCTGCATCGTTCGCGTCGCACGCAGCAGGAGCTGGCGCTGCCCGACGTCTTCCTGACGGAGAGCAGCAGCGGTAGCAGCAGCAGTGAGGACGAGAGCGAGGAGGGGGGTGTGGTGATGCCACGTCCCCTGGGCGCCCCTTCCACCGACATTTACGCCAAACTGCAGAGGGCCAACCGAGGTGAGGCCCGGGGATGGTGGGGGGTAGAGGAGGGGGGGGGGGGGTACCTTCCCAACCCATGACTCGGCAAACACGCCCATGTGTTCGTATAACTCGGAGTTGAACTTGGCACGCTGTCCGAGTGGTCAGTATGTGCCGAGTCCTGCACTTGTGCTGCACAGTAAATTACCAAAACGGATTTTCACATTGCGGTTATTACTGACTTCCATTCCCAGCCACGGTTGTCATCGATATGTGGACCGGTTCTTGCCTCCTCCTTTTCGTCCCACACTTTAACCCAACTGAATCAACCAGCGTGGTGAAGTATGGTCGTACGATTCTAATTGTTAACAAAGTAACTGATCACCGCAGTAGGGGGTGTCCGGTTAATGTAATGACCGATTGCGTCGCAAGCACCGCACGCCACGTGCACGCGCAGATAACCGCACGCGCCGTTCGCACCTTCACCGCGTTATTTTTCCATGTGGTTGAATGAATTAAAAAAATAAAATACTCGTCGTGTCAAGCAGTCATCCGTTTCAGATCAAAGGCTATTTCATATATTATTTATGAACACATTCCTTCGGCGGTTATTAAAACATTAAATCCACAACACATTGTTAGGACCGTGAAAATGTGCAACGTCAAAGTCAACGTGTGCAGTGGCGCCGTGCGCTAAATCTGTGAGCGCTGTGGAGCCATTGATATCAACGCTTGGGCACCGTGTCACCCGCACAGCATGTGGACTCCTAGAGCCCTGCAAGAATTTTCGAGCAGCCCTTGCCATAATTCTCGAAGCTTAGCGAAACATAACATGATTATTGTTTTCATCTTGCATGAATAATGCAAAAGTACCGCTTACTTTCGAGGTTTTATTCCATAATAAATTGTCAAAAAATAAATCGGATCTTCAGTAGAAGCAAGCACCACAGTGAACTTCACCTTGAGCGAAAGTTTGGAGCCTCATTTTACGTGCGATGGGGACGATGTTGGAAGCACCATCCAGGTGCGTTCCGCGTGCAAACTGGAGCGGCAACGCTCGCGCTGGCACGGCCGGTTTATGGTGACAGTGGGAATCGTAAGGCCGGCTACGCACACCGTGGGAAATCTTGCGCTTCATTCGGAACGGCCGGTAACACGTTGGCTGTGGGCAACTGCTTTGTGGAGATGGCACGTGCACCGTAGAACGCCGTGCTCAATTCGCACGTGTTGGCAAGGGGCGCTACATTTAATTTGGGAAATGCAGTAACTATTTATTTTCATCACTGAAAATATCATGGCATCATCTCTTGAGTTTTTTCCACCACGCCTATTGTTTTCCTCCATTTATGCTCCACCCCGCCTTCTAAATTCTCTCTCACTTTTCTCCGTGTTCCCGTCTTATTTTTTAAGCTCTGCCTCGCCTCTTCTTATCGTCCTCATTATCCCCTCTTTTCTCCCTTCTTGCGTCCCTCTGAATGGCCCCGCTACCTCTCTTGTCCGTCACGCACATCCTCGTGCTGTCCGTGTGCCGCAGTCATGAGGAAACATCTGGTGCTGCCCGCCTGCGCCCCGCCGGCTCCCATCTCCCTGGCGGACGCCTTCCACCACGGCTCGTACCAGCGTGCTCCCTGCCGCCCCTTCGGCGAGCGCACCACCATCGTGCCCTTTGACCTTCTCATGGAGGGCGAGGAGGAGGAGGAAGAGGATGACGAGGAGAGGGAGGTAAGGATGAGCTCATTGTGTCGGCCCTCGCAGCCCTCCCTCCCGGCGGTGTCCTCGACGCAGACTTGGCGTTGACACCGCCGTGCTGCCGCGTGATTTGTCGCCGCGCGAGCTCTTGTTTTTTGTTTCTTGTTTGTCACTGCTTTTGATGGGACTTTGCAGCAATGTTCGTTGTATACAAATAAATCGTGGGGGGAAAGGACTCTTCTTTCACCAGCATCTCCCATGCTGACATCACCCCTCCCCCGCCCCCCCCCTTGTGGCCTTGTTCAGCTGGAAGCCACCTCTCTCACATTTGTCTCGCTTTAACCGTAATTTTCCGTCGTCGCTGTAAGCCACGAGTATTGTTTTTACATCCGTCCACCGCCGTTTGTCACGATGTAAAGTTCACATCCACATTCGCAGGTTTTTTTTCTTTCGTATTCAGGTTCATCACATCTCTCTCTCTCTTATTCCCAGCTAATTGTGCTAAAGCCCATATTTGCAAACCCATATCTCGTGGACGTAGACATCTAAGTGTGCACATGCAACGATGGCGGCAGTAAAACAATTGGGAGAATGCTTTTGTGTCCGTTCACTCAAACACTTTCGCCAACCCTGGGGTCTAATTTTGTTTTCAGTGCAGACGCCGCTCACGTCGATCCGTGCGCCCGTGCTCTTCCCCGCGTGCGAGCGCATGTGCCATTTTCCACTGAGCAGAAAATTGCGGTGGAATCGAGAGCTGTTGTGATCGCCGGATTCACAAGGCTCTGACAAGTTAATGCTGCCAGGAGGGCATTTGTATAAAAGAGGGGGGGTTGTAGGGGCCGGGGGGGAGGGGCGTTTGCTGCTAATGCGTTTGGCGCTCGCTCAGGGAACCTGCGCTCCTCGCAGTAATCAGTATCCGTTATCCAGGGGGCCGGCAAAATGGGTTCGGAGAGCAGGGAATCAGCCTGGGTAAATATTTAACGTCGGGATAATGAGCCTGCGACTGACACCGGCATCAGTCGTGCTCTTGGGCAGGGGGCAGGGCTGGCCGTGGGGGGGGGGGGGTGGGGTGAGGGGGGTGGGGAGAGAGCCTCTCCCATCTGTGCCCCTTGTCCAGGATCGCAGCCTTTAATAAATTCGGCTATTGCTTTCCCCGGCTGTCCCGAGGCTTGGCCGATTTGTGAAAGCGGCGTCGCAGGTTTCTGTGTGGTTTTTGCCGGGGGTGGGGGAGGGGGGTTCGGTCGATGAGTGGTGAGAGAGAGGGTGGCGGCGGTGCCGGCTGGAGATGGGTAGAGGAAGAAACAATAATAATTATGACTTCAGTTGAAAGATTGGGAGGTGAATCGCACCACGGGATTCCGCTTGCCACCGTTACGCGGCCCGGGCATTGTGCGGTTGCAAGGAGAGACGCCTGGCCCCATCAGACACTCGCTGGGGGCGCCTGAGCAGAACAAGGCCAGGAAGGAAGGACTGGGTGGTGGGTCTTAATAATAATAATGCTGTGACACACTTTCTTGTGTCGGATAAAAGAGAACCGTCGAGGGTATTTGTCATTTACTGCTCTCATGATCGACCCGAGCGCGGTGTCAGCGTCGGCGTGGGTTTTATAGGCTTATGTGATCACGTCGAGACTGTTGAAGGTTCGAAAGCTGCACACTCGCCAGACTAACGCGCAGGTGCTCCATCGCAGCGTGCCAGGTGCAACCGCTTTCATTGCGCGCAGTTGATGGAGCACAGCGCCTGAAGCTGACTTTGTAAACATGGGAAAACTTAACGGTGGCATCTGGAACAGACTGCGAGTCAGTGAGTTGCATCGATGTGTTGCGTGTGGAGTGAGATAGTACATTGCATGGGAGGCAGGGGTAGAGTAGAGAGTGACTCATTTAATCTCATGGATGTGAATAGTGAGTTAGTATTTTGTCTGTAAGTGGTGCGGTATATGGAGCAGAGTGAGATATCGGTCCTGTTGAATCCGTTTCGTTGGACTTGTGCACCGATCTACACCCAGAAAGGAACCAAGGCATCATCGTTTTGAAATCAGAAGATGCTCTCAAGAAACTGAAGCCGCAGACATCACCCGGTATGGTTGGTCTTGACGAATGGATCAACCAGCATGCCATGGCATCTTTACCACCTGCCAAAGAGCCATGGGACCCCAGGAGCTTTCCAGTGGCTTGGGCAAAGTCAGTTATTAGAGCCTTTTACAATATAAGGGCGACCTCAAACTTTGGGGGGGGGGGCGACAGTTTTTGTGGAGGCCGCTGGCTGAGCGCTTCCTCCACCCGACACAGATTGACGGACTGGTCAACGTCGTCGTCGGTTTCAACAAAGCCCTGATGAGCACGGTTTGGCATGCCGGCACGATATGTGCCTCGGGGCAAGACGGCGCACCTGCAAGGCACCCGGTGCGCTCACTCGCCAAGAGCCATTACGGCCGAGGTGTCGTCTCTCCAGGCCTCGTCCATCTGCTCCGAGTGCGCGTGGCCGGCCAAGTTCTACCCACTGGGCCCTTTTTGCATGAAGACGATTAATTGAAGGGTAAAGCCTTTTCGTCTTTTATTTATTTTTTTAATCGGAAAAGTTCATATCTTTAACTGATGAGAAAATGTATCACAGCAGAAACATTTAATGCAGGCCGAAAACAAATAGACAGCACACACACAAATATGTGTACAGGAGCTCTCGGCCTTATCTAGACCACCAACTCAAAAGAACTGCATGTGTGGCCATTTTAATGTTTAGACCAGGAACTCAGAGGCATATGGCAGTGGTTAATGTTCCTGACGGTGCTGTACTGAGGAGTCATAGTGAGGATGAAACTGGTGCCTGTTGTTGGGATGGCCACATTTCCTCACCTCTTTGAGTTGGTGCTTCTGAATGACAAAATGTCAACACGTTCAGTTCTTTTGAGCTGGTGGTCTGATTAAGACCGAGAGTTTTTGTACACGGCAATGCCACACAGCTTTGAGTGTTGCTGCTTCTACTTCTGCTTGGCGATGGGTCGGAACGCTCGCCAATATACCACGAGCGTCGCACCTTCATACGTGCAGCTCACGGGCGCCGCGGTGGCGAGATGTTAACTCCCTCGCCTGGTATGCAGGAGGTTGTGGGTTCGATCCCGACCCTAATGCCTCCACATTTAGAATCAACGAGCGTTTAGAGTATTTTGGCTGCAATAAATTTGCACGTGATAATCCACTTCGTTGAGCCATCAATTGTGATAGCTCAACTTTGTACATTTTGTCAAATAAAAAAAATTGTTTCGTTTACTTTTCAAGTCGGCAGTACGGTCCTTGGATTCTGGAAGTAGAAACAAAGGAATCGTTATCAACTAAAACCAAAATGTACACGTCATTTAAATTTTGAAAATTACATCTTGAACAGGTTTCACATTTCAGGCATCTCGGAGAGTTCACTTGACCCAAATAGCGCGTAGGCCACGTGTGCTCCCCACAGATGGCAATTTTTGAACACTTGTCGGAATTCACGTTGTGGGCTTACGAGCAAACCGCACCCGCTGCCTGATAACACCATCGCGCTCCACAGCTGTGAAGCTTTGACACTAATAAGGTAGAAAGTGAAGTATGGCACACTTTCAAAACGAAGCGCCTAAACGTCTTCCTCAATATCATTTGGTGTGTGCTCACGTAACCAATAACGTCGCAGCCCGCGCCCCAAGGACTGAAGGCTGTACCATTTTGCACTGTCACGGACGGCACAACACAGGCTTGGCATAAGCTGCAGGGGACATCGGTCAATGTCGCTTTTGAAGGCACCGGCGTCAATTTCAAATCGGCCACCTTCGTTGGCGCACAATCACGGCTGTGTCGGGCAGAATCGGAGCCGCTGATTGTGCGGAGCGCTCGCGAGTCGCAGCTGGACAAACGGGGACAATGTGTCGGGACGCAGAGCGGCCCTCGGCTGATTGAGCAGCCGGACGCTGATCTCGGTCGACAAAGAAGGTCACCGTCCAGTGGGGAGCAGACTCCGGTTGCCATTTTAACATCGTTGCATTACCGCGACAAAACCCTCTTTTTGGCAACGTGTGGATTTGCGTCGAGCGAACGAGGCCGCGTGAATGATGGCGGCGGGCGCCGGAGCAGACGGCTCCATCGCGGCCGGTGTTTGCTGTTTAATCAAAGCCAAGAGGGCGGCGAAGCGTTGAGGGGGAGGCGGGGGACGAGGCCTCTCAAGGCTCCCGCGGAGCGGAGCGCCGCGCCGCCGCGCTCCGCCACGGAATCCCGCGCTGGGTTGGAATGGGGCGGCCGTTCATCATCGCCGATCTGATTAGGCTGACGGCTCGCACGAGCGGGGAGCCGGCGGCATCGCACGACCCGCCCGTGCCGCCCGCGCCGCGTTGCGACGCGCGCCGGAGCCGAACGCGAGCGCGCGTTGCTGCCGAGCGGATCCGCGATGCGGAAGAGTGGCGGCGCGCGAGCCTTGTGCCCGCTAGTGGTGCGGTGCGTGCCCTCGTTAGACTTGTGTTTTACGCAGCTCTCTAGTTACGTGTTTGTGCGTGTGCATTACGACGATTCTATTTTCCAGATAAAGCCAACTAGGCTATGAGCTCTTTTTCAGAGACGACCTGGTCGCACATAATAGCCCATCGAAGTGGCTTTCATTATGATGTGTCGGAATTTATAGTGGGAGCGAAATAATCTGAATGCCTGTTGATTCTAGATGTGGAAGGCAAAATCGGAGGACCCGGAGAAATCTCCATGTGAGAGGAGAAGCAAACTCCAAATATACAGGCAACAGGGTCGAGATCGAACTGACGACCTCCTGCATAGCAGGCGAGGGAGCCACACGCGGTGCAATGTTCCTACAGTCTCCGCAAGGAACTTCACTACCTGGAGTAACTTTCCTTGTGTAGAGTCAAGTCAGGGCTCATTCTTGACAGAATAAGCCGAATAACTACAGTGTTGACGATGCGCTATGTAAGAGCCCTGGTTTTCCATATAGATGCAAAAATATGATCAGAATTATGGGAGTTTATGAATGTCTAAAACTATCCTTTCCTTCCTCTAAAGTTGAGTTAGGAGATCAGAATAAGTGCCATCCCATCTAATGTTTAGGATGGAATGGCGCCAGTTTGTGTCAAAATATGATTGCATCTCAAGGCGATGCAAACTACTCTGCAAGCGTATCCTGCTTGATTCACACAGTCTTGTTATCCAGACAGCAGGGTGGTGGCGAATCAAGAGGGATGATGATGGGTAGAAGAGCACCCGTGCCTCGCAACATAAAAGGGCCTGGGTGTTCGGGCTCCAGACGTTTGTGTGGAGTTTGTACATTTGTATGTTCTCCCCGTGCTATACGTGGGTTTCCTGTGGATTCTCTGGATTTCTATATCGCAAAAAGAAACCTACAACGTAACTGGTGTCTCCGAAACATCCCAATAATGCAAAATGACTCATGGGCTCGCTGGCAGAAAAATTGCCGCCGACGACAACTTGACAGGAACCTCCTGAAAGAGCCTTGAGACTCTGGGAGACTTTCCTGATTATACAAGCGTAATAATAGTGACAATCACAGCAACCCAGGTTCAATCCCCATCCCCATGATGCTTGCCACACGAAGTCAAATAGGTGCCAGTCAAACAGCACATATACATTGGTGTGTATACGTGTCGCTGTGATATTTTAAAATCCAGCCTGTTTACTTTTTCTCGAGGTGCAAAGGTCAACAAATTATAGCTGCGAACTTGCATTTCTGCAGGCGGAAAAAGAACAGAGCTCCGTGGATGCTGCGTGTGTTTTTGTAATGCGCATGTTGTGTGTATTCCATTCCACACTGAATATTATCACAGCTGCACGATGTGAGTGTTCAAAAGAGAAAAAAATCTAAAGAAAGAAACAACAACAAAAAACATACTGTGAAAGATTTAATAGGGGTCTTCAATATTTATTTTGACAGAGAAATATATCAGCCCGAGTTGTCCCTGCGGTATTGGCTTGCTGTTTGCTATCTCATGAGTTATGAGACCTTTGACAGAGTAGATCACAGCCCGGCTGTAACTCTGAGACGTTGGAACTTTTTTGCCTGGAACAAACACGGTTTGCACAGCCCACATGCGAAATCCAGCGATCCCGCTCATGTTTCGTTTCCTGAACGCGAAGGAGTTGCTGTGTTTCATAATTGCTTTTTGGGTCAGATTGGGTGAGTAAAGTGTCGTGTCGTACAATCCATCCTTCACCCGACGCGACCAATTAATAACGTTGCCACGTCAACAAACGTGCCAATGTATCCGTGTTGGAGAGCGACATACACAACAATTATGATAGCCAGGAGGGAAGCGTACGACATAACATCTTGCGCAATACTCTCATCAATTATGGATCGTAATTTCGGTTGCAACAGCTCACGTCCTAAAACTCGCCGCTGTGTTCCGCGGATTTGGGTGAAGACATGGATAACAATTCTACAACCGCGGAGACACCGTGTGTACACGTGTCTTGTCAGCTTGTTAATTAAAGGAACGAATGTGCGATACCGCCGTTGGCACGCAAATAGCTCAACTCCACACACTCGTCAACAACACTGCCCTGAAGTGGGAATATTTAATAATAACAAGAACAAGTGATGCTTTGGAAAATGGCTCTTATAGCAGAGAATACAAAGAGGTTGTGTCTGGATAAGCGCTGGAGATTGCGTTGTACATGGTGGGGCCCGCTCAGCGTGCGTGTTGGCTCAATGAGCTCTGCATGTGAATTTGTTTTTTAAAAAGCTGAGCAGCCTCGACGATGCGTGTTGTGCCCGCATCATGCAGAGCTTCGCTCTCTCACGTCGGCATGACGCCAGCGTGTCATGCTGGCAACGGCTCTCGGTGTTCCGGCAACGGGGCCCTCGGTGTGCCGGGCGCGACGGTGGCGTGCTTCGTGCACGAGCTCCGCACGTGCCGAGTAAAGAGAGGAGGTTAGCGCGGCGATGGGGCGGTGGAGAGAGAGGGGGAGTTTGGGGGGTGCACGGGGGGGGGGTGGATAAGGGGGGGGGGGGTGACGGCAGGACAAGACAAATTGAAAATGTAACCTTGGTTCTTCTGTAACCATCTTTTTATATCGGCCTAAAAGGATCTGCAATTTCAGCTTGAATCCGTCGGCAGTGAGTTCTGAATAAATTTATAATGAGCGGACCCAGCCGATATGAGTGGCGATAAGGAAAGCACATCCTTCCCCGGGGAAGGGAGGTGCGCATGTGTGCGTGTGTGCAAGGTCCTGCGAGTGTGTGTGTATGCATGTGAGTGTGCGTGCGCGTGAATGCATGCGAGAGCGTGAGTGCATGCGCGAGTGTGTGCGAGTGTGTGTGCGAGCGTGCGCGCTCGAGTGCGTGCGAGAGTGTGCGAGTGTGCGTGCGAGAGTGTGCGAGTGTGCGTGCGAGCGTGCGCGCTCGAGTGTGTGCCAGTGTGCGTGCGAGAGTGTGCGAGTGTGCGTGCGAGCGCAAGAGACATTGTTCCTCTCCCGACCGACCGCTCGCTCACCGCTCGCCCCTTTGCCCTATGCCTCCTTCCTCTCTTCAGCCAAATTCCTCATTATCGGCTCACAAAGCAAGCGCAGGGAGGAGCTGCATTACTCGATTCTCTTGGGGGGGGGGAAAGGCGGGGACGGCGGAGGGGGGGTAGCAGAGGGGGAAGGGTGGGATCACCAGAGACCCAGGATTCTGGCTGCACTGCCGGGGGATTCATTCTTGATTGGGTTCGGTGCACGGATTGAAAATTAACATCCAGAGTCGGTAAAACGGAACCTTCCGTCTGTGGACGAGTGAGGAAGTTATTAGCCAGCGACTGTGCGATATTCCCCGGAGATTGTCGGCCGTGTGCCCATTGTAGCTCGCACACCATTCCGCTGCTCTTGCCAGCGATACCGAGATGATGATGATGATGCAGAGACGTTGAGCTCTGGTCACGAGGGAAAGCTTTCTTTAATCATTTTGTGTTGGTGGGAGGGAATCGCAATCCACATTCTGCTTTTAATTACGAGCAGCCTAACCTTTCCCAGTTAACGTTGTCTCAATTTCCGTGTCACTTCTGGGAGTCTCTCTCTTGCTATTTGTTTTGAGCACGTGTCGTGAGTGATCGAAGGGGAGGGGGGCGGGTGGAAGCTAAGGATGAGGGTTATCTTTTTTCCGTCTTTTTCTTTTTTGGCCAGCAGCGTTGCAAACTTTTACGCGTGCAAATTATTTCCCCGCAAAATTTAATCCTGAATGATTCTTTCAGAGTCGGAGTGTGGATAATTGTAGCCCTGTGAGTGTTCCCACTGCACAGGCATTGTAATTACTTTATTTTTGTGATGAAAATGTAATTTTACAACTGTCTGGTAGACACTGGTGGCAACAGTAACACGTTCACACCATTAACGTAAATATTAAATATTCATCTCACTAAGGCTGTCTTCGGGTGTATATATATGTAACTTTGTGCCGTTGTGCATTTGTGTGCGCGCATGTCTGTGCATGTGGCTGCAAGTGTGTATCTTGTCTCAGAAGGTTGGATCTGTCTCAGATACACACATACAGCAGCCGGGCGTGGTGCTGGCCACCCATCCCCTCGTGTGCCGTGTCAGCCTTCATCGGTGCTACTCGATAACAGCACTTGCTCCAACAGTCTGTTAAGGCTATACGGGGGATCTTTATCTTTGTAGTTCCATGGATTTTTCTCCAGGTCCTCTCACATTTAGAAACACGCGTTGAGAGTATTTGGCTGCTATAAATTTCCACGAGATAAGCCACTTCGTTGGGCGATCATTTGTGGTCAGATCGCTTCCGAAAAAATATACTATATAGCTTAACAGGCTTTACCTGCTAAAATACCAATCATTAGTTAATAGCTGCCTATGTGTCTGTACGCGATAGATAGAGGGAGACGAAACGCAAATTGGCATTCGGTTCTCATGCCACCACCCCGTGCCGGACGCTCGTTAATCTCTCTCCGCCTCTCCAGGGCGACGGCGGGGGCCAGCGAGCCGCGGCCGGCCCCGACGGCGCCTTCCCGCAGCAGCAGCAGCAGCAGCAGCGGCGGCGGCGGTGCCACGTGGCGGCGGTGCCGGGGGCCTTCACGCCGGCGGCGCTCGGGCCGGGGGGCGTCGTCCGCTCGCCGCGGGGCCCGGCGACGACGCCCAAGGACGGCGGCGAGAGCGAGGATCGCGCGGGCGACGACGCGTCCTTCGCGTCCGGCAAGGCGACGGGAGACAACGTGGAGTCGCTGAGCGACTCGCTCTACGACTCCTTCTCGTCCACGGCCAGCCAGCTGTCCAACGAGGCGTGAGAGAGACGCCGGAGCGCACGACGAGCCGCACGACGACGCCGGCCCCCGGAACACCTCGCCTCGCGATCGGAGCGGGATCTCGCGATGAGCGGACGCCAACGATGGCTCGTGCGGTCAAAATGGTTTTGGAAGAACGTTTTCTAGGATCGCGAGATTTTTTTAATCATCTGAAAGAAAAAAAACGTCTCGACGCTCGAAAATGGTTCCACGTCGAGAATGTGTCGATGAGCGTTTGATACGATTCGCCAGTTTTCCATCTTTTTTTTCTACTTCCCTGAGAGCAGACGGTGGGATTGGACCATCTCGCACCCAACGCTGTTACGCGAGAAGAAGTTTGGCGCCGTTTAACTGCACCATTTTCCCTTTATCGCGGCAGTAAAAGGCATATCAATATATCCATGCGTTATTAAATACGTATCTTCATGGAAACTGTTTTTAATTTAACCACCCCAAAAAAATGTGTTTTACATTTTTAAAACCATTTGGAATAATTCATCGAACGGCGGACACACACACACACACCCGCGCACGTGCGCTGCGTGAACATCGCCTCTGCCGTGCGGCTGAGGCGACAAGGTTGCGATACGGGGGGGGGGGGGGGCGGCTCTCGGCGCCGTCGCTTGAGCCACCGTGCGGACGTGTAAATTATTTCGGTGTTATTGGTGCTAGGGGCACTTCTGTGCCGCGGTGGCGCCGTCGCCACGCGGAAGGAGCGGCCCGAAATCTGCTGCCAGAGTCGCGGAACCGGCGGTGAAATCCTTCACCCCCCCCCCCCCTCGCGACGTGCAAAAAACCAAACGCCTGCCTGCAGCACTTCCTGCCCTCCCACTTGAAAAAGATTAAGAGAAAAGGAACCTCTGAGGACATCTGTTTACATGTGTAAGAAGAATTATGTTTTTTGTACACGGTTTAAATGTTTCGAGCACAGGGACACGACACTACTGGGAACCGACTCCTCCGAGGTCGCCGAGGTGCACGGCTCTGCGTGGCGGCCACGTGCGTCGTCTTCAGTGCTGCGAATCTTCTCCGAGGATTCTGTGAAGAATTTCGCGGATCCGGTTGAGCCTCCTCGTGGGGAAGCGGAGCTGTGCGCAACAGCGACGCACGAATCTGTTTGCACAAATCAAGCGCCGTTTTTATAACCGGATGAGAACACAATGAAGATTCAACGTTTCTCTTGTCATGGAGATGCTGTTGCTCCCACCCCACTCCCCATCCCAAGCAAAGTATTTATATAAGAAGAGTTTGAGCAGCTTCTGCATTCAGGTGAACTCTGCCCCCTTTACCTCTGCCCGGGATGGATCGGCGTCATCCCCTTCGACTCTCGGCGCGTCTCGCGACGTCGAGAATTCTCGGCGTCGGCTCCTCGCTCACCTTTCATGCCGCGTAAAAACAGAGCAAGCGGCGCGTCACGGCAACGCTGACGGGGGTTTTTTTCTAGCGTGCGGTGTATATTGTAAGCATAGTCTTGATGCTTCCACGATGTAAGGAACGTGTACATATTGTCCTCTGTTAGGTGGTCGATCGGTCCGCCCCTGTGCGTGCGTGCGAGCCTCTTGTTTGGATGGACTTTGTTTTGCTCCCGAAGCTCCCTCCGCCTGTGCTCCCTGATGAAACGGAGCGACGTGTCGAGCCGAAGCCTGTGTCAGGAGAGAGAGGGGGGGGGGGGAGACGTCGAGGGAGTGAGGAAAGAGAGAGCGGGAGAGGGCGTCGCGTGAGATTGGCGGCCGACAGCTCCGTTCGTGAATAGCGACCTGCGCCGCGTGTTATAAGACGCGTCAACTCCTGCCAGGGTTGACCCGCCAACTTCGTACCAGTATTCTGCGTATTTCAAAACAAAAGTATAACATTTAATAAACATTTCTTCACGCACAAACACGCACACACACAAACTCGCATAAAGGCAAAACGAAAAAAACGAAAAACACTGGCATCGGATGTAATTTCTTTCTATAGTGTGCAAATATTTATCTAAACCTTTTGTACATGTACGTGTAAAGTAGCTGAGTATATTTTCTTCAGAACGCACTTCTCTCCCTCCCGACGCTTTGTTTTGCCGTAGGGCGTGGACGCGTTTGGACATCGCCCCCCCCCCCTGGCCACACCCTCCCCCTCGCCAAGCCCCCCACGCCCCCCACGCCTCCCAGGCCCCCCACGCCCCCCACGCCCCTCGCCACTCCCCCGCACGCGGCGTTGAGGGGGGGGGGGGGTACCCTCGTCATTTTCCTCCGTTCAGTGCAATCTCATAGGGTTGGGATCGTCTCTTGTTCTGCCTGTTTGAGTTTGGTGTCAAGTTTCGTGTAATTAATAAAGTACGCCATGAGACAGCTGGTGCTGTGACTATAGCTTCCTCTCCTTGTACTTGTGTATGAATATGACTACGAGTCATTGTTTTACATCTCCCGGGGTGTGTGTGTCGATGCCCACACACACGTGTATACGATCGAATCTTGCTGGGCTCCCCAACCTCGTGAGAGCTCACAAGCTAATCAGCCCCGAGCCTGCTCACTGCTTGAATTGGGAGGCGGGCCTGTAGGCTTCTGCTGAGAGGTCACCAGGCTCGAGCAGGATTAGTCATGGATTCATTAATCCATCTGTGCGGAGCTGACGCGCCAAGTGGGTTTTATCCGGGCACTTCAGTTTGCTCCCAAAAGCAAATTATTCATGTAATTTGGTCAAATGTTCCGATGCAGGAACCTCCTGAAAGAGTCTTGAGACTCGGTGAGGTTTTGCTGGGTAAAGGCAGGGGATTATTTATCTCTCTCGTTCTGCCCGCTGCCATTCACCTTTCATTTCACGGTCTTCCATATGATGTTCCAGAAAATTATAATATTTATGGATATGATTAGATTCGTGCATATATAGTATCGTACATTAGTACACATTGTTCTTCAATCGTGTATCACATGTTGAAATGTAATACACGGATTTCCATAGCCTATACATACAGGCTGTAGGCGTGCGACAAGCATTGGTTTTGCTTTGGTGAAATGCGTGGCTTATTGCTCATCGAGAAACGAGGCACGGAGAGACGTATGCTCGGAATGATACCGAGAGGGAAGAGGAACGCGCGGATCGGAGAACGACCACAAAGGAGAGACGTCATGTTCACTGTTAGGACACGTCGCGAGAGCGTTGACCATGAGACGAGATTGCCAACTGAATAGCGGTTCAAGGTGAGAATGCGCCCGGGAGGAGGAGGAGGTTCTTCCCCTTGAGAGGGATCGATGGGATGCAGGAGCCAGAGATAGATTGTGGATCCACAATACAGGGGGGGGGGGGGGTAAGATCGCGTAAATATAAATGTGTCGTTAAATCCGCCACCACCCGACACAGCCGTTTGGTAAGGTTTGTCACTTAAACAGAACATGCCAATGCATTACTAGTACAGCGCACCGGTGTGTTGGAGAGTTCAAAAGATTGTGGAATCGCAGTACTTCGAGGGATTGCAGCGGCGTGTGGCGGCCTTCACCCAGCAGTGAATCGACGGCGGTCCATGGTGACTGCTCATTGAGTTGAGAGCCGCTTTCTCGAGCAGACGGTACAAACATTCACAGCATTGCACTCCCCTGATTTGTGGAGTGCCGATTACTCATCATCACTGTGGGCACAGCCCTGCTATCAGTGAGCCTCCCACCCCAGCCTTTGTTTTGTCAATATCAGTCGTAATAATGCGTGGACTTTGTCATTCCCCTGCTGGATGCGGGCCTCTGCATGCTGTGTCGGCTCTGGGTGTTGTTTTACCATACTTCACCACAGTGGTGAGTGCTGGTGTGGTGAAAGAGGAGGGCCGTGTCCAATTCAGAAATCGCTTCCACTGACGTCACCCGCAATTGTGCCACGGCAAAGCCAGAACTTAGTTTTTAAAATAATTTAAATATAAGGGAACATGCATACAGACGTGAAAATAATGCGTATTTTATTACGATAGAATCACATTACGTGGATATCATATCTTATCAGCTGGATTTATTGCTCACTGCATTCAGGGAGGATACAAACTCTTGACTTATTTTATTTCAGTCACATCCGTTTATGCGCGACGCGCAAGTGTTATTGGACTTGATAATGATGAACACTTGACGAATGAGACCGGCAGATTGCCCCGGCGTTAGAAGAGGAGCACCACACACGAGTTGGCGGGGAGGGAGGGAGGGAGGTTGCCACCAAGCGGGCAACGTTCACCTCTCACGCGCGTCTCTCCACCAGCAGCGCGTGCGGTGGCTCTGAGCGCCAGGACATGAAGAGCGGATAGGAACCGACCAGAGATGTGTACGTTGAACCTCTTTCGCATCCCCAGACGTAGCCAACCTCGTTGCGTGGGGTGGGGGTGAGCAAACTAAAGACGAGAAGCAATTCAAAGAAATTGAGTTTTCAATTGAGAAAAGAAGACGTGGCAAGCGGCTTTGGCGCGAAGCACACCGACTCGCCAAACGACAGGACGCTCTTTAAGACCATAACGACGTTGTTTCACGTCCAATTAATCCATCGGGGAGGGCGTCTCAAACTTCGGTCGCGCTGCGCCAGGCCGCGCCGCGACTTTTCACGCCGAACGAATCCTTCGCACGGAGAAGATGAGCGTGGCTTCGTGTTGAGATTTCGCACGTGACACTCGACGATAAATTATTTTACGCACACATTTCACGTGCGTATTTTCGGATGGTGTAACAAAAAAAACGTTCGAAAACGAGTCGAGGCAAAGCATCGACAGCGAGCGTCACGGACTCGTCGTTATGACGCGTGCACAACGCCGTGTTTACACGTATCACTTATCACGTATCACTTCTGGTAAATTACGTATCGATTCTTCATTACGGAGCGTTCGTCCGTGGCAATAAGCCGTTTAAATGACTGCTTATATCCCTCGCATTACCGTCTATGGATTTTCACATGTTTTGCATGTCCTTTATTGCTGAATCTCAGGGCCCTCGTCGAATTAGAGGCTTGGCATCGGCAGGCCCGCACCTGCCTGTCAAGGTCAGCTACCTGCAGGGTGCAGCAGCAGTGGTTGGCAAACTCCTAAACCTGGCGAGCCGAGGTTGATCCTCAGCCAAGGCTAACGTCAGCGGCGAAATGTGTCGGGACCGGTCCTGGACTCTTTCCGCCCTTCGCCAACCCGCAGTGGCCAGGATGGTGAAGTATGGTCAGCCAACCGCCACCACCGACACGGTGCCAGGGGTGCCCTTCATCCAGCAGGGAGCCAACAAAAGGGCTGTTATGTATTCTACGTTGCATGTCATTACACATTACCTCTACAAATGGTGTCGAGGAGCTGTTAGTAATTGAAGCTCTGTACAGCACACTAAAATTAGAATGATGATTACTCTTTATATTTTTATTTTACCAGATAAGGCTCACTGAGCTCTTATAGCCCTTTTTCAGAAGCGACCTGGCCACAAATGATAGCTCAACGAAGTGACTTATCGTGTCAACATTTGCAGCAGCCAAATAATACTTTAAACGCATGTTTCTAAATATGGAGGGATAACACGGAGGACCCGGAGAAAAATCCACGCGACCACAGGGAGAACACGCAAACACCAAATATACAGCAGAAGGCGTCAGGGTCGGGATCGAACTCACGACCTCCTTGTATACCAGGCGAGGTAGTTAACATCTCCTAGCCACCGTGGGACCGCTATTGTTGTTGTTCTTGTACACAGCTTGCACGCGCATGGCTGATCTCCCTCTGGACAGAGGCGCGGCGTCCCAATGGCCTCTAACACGGTTCAAGCGGAGGAATCAACGCCGGCCATTGATTTATCGACAAAATAAGTGCATTGATGTTTGCATTACCGCGGTGAAAAATTAAGCGAACGGACATTAATAACGTTGAGTGTGCGTGTGCATGTATAACGCAGTTACAGATGGTTGGCATGATGTGCACACAGTGCATCACGAAATGTATAACAATTGGGCAAACAAGATGGTCCATGGGCCAAACCAGACATGTGCACCACCTAGGGTAGCATATCTGTAGCAGTCCTGACGTACTGTATTTATATGGGCAATATTTGATAACCCACTCATTCCAAGGAGATAGCGGGACGAGCAGCATTGAGATAAACAATACACACGAGATGCATCGTAGTGACTAGTAAAGAAGAATTGGCTTGGGGCAGGACGCATGGTTACAAGGTGGTGATTGAGAGTCGATGGCCAGGACTGGTAATGGAATGGCAGCCACAAGGGGTGACCCACCGTGGAGATGGAGCGATGCAATCGGCTCGCGTGGAAGTCAGATGGCTTGTGACGTACAGTCAAGCAAGGCACGGTTATGCCGTGTGGTGGCCTCCATCCAACAGTGGGTATGCAATGGATCATGATGATTGTATATAACTAAGTCTATCCAATACGATTATTATCATTGCAGGATATGCATATTGGCGTGATACACGCTGTCCTCTCTATCGGCCCATGTAAATACAAATGTTTCAATCCATTGGCCGATTGGCTTTCCAGACCAAGATTATAATTTGTTTCAGCGAGTCACACTCTGGACCGGCTCCAACCTTCTGGACCCCATCAGCAGAATCAGGCTTGTTAAACAAATGCTGCTGGGTTGCCAGATGTGGTGGGCAGGATCATTGCCTCTAAACAATGGGGGGCTCTGTTCGACTCACATTTTAATATTGTATACAAGCTCAAAGTGGGCAAAATAATGTGTATTTGTATGAGGACATACACAAGGGAGGCCTGTAAATGTGTGTTATAATGTACCACGGCAAGGCGTAATGAGGTTGTTTGTATGCATTTGAATGATCAATGTAGGAAACCAAGGAAGTCTGTGTGTTTGTCTTCATTCACAGAACTTTGGAACAGAAACCCCGTAAGCCCTTACAAGTGACGCCCTGTTTTTCAATCGAACGTTTTGCGATGCATAGATTGTAAAAGTTTACCGAGTCTTGCAAAGCTTTCCCAAGTGCCGCGGTTGTGTCTGTGACTGTGGCATGATTAATGTACCAAGACAAGTCTGGTGTGTGAGCGAATCACTCATTGCTGCACGCTTGGCACTGTCATGCGCAACGTTCACGGCTATAATTTTTAAACTTCCCAAAGTCGTCTCGGCCGCATTCATGCCACCGCTTCCCCCACCCTTTGGATTACACAGGTGGAAGCAGAGTGCGTACATGATCTGCCTATTACCTGCATCTCTTTGTGTGTGTGTGGAGCGGTAGCGTAGTGGGGACCGCGCTGCGCTAAGAACCCGGCGATCCGAGTTTGATTCTCGCTCCCGGCGAACATCAGTGACGATTAATCTGAACCGGTCCTGGGGCTCCTCCCCTAGGTCGACTCAGCCCCACATGAGTGC